ACTGAATATTCGTGAACTTCAGAGTGAGCTTGTAACTGGAGCCAATCGTGTCACGAAATCTATCAAGAAACTTACAAGAACGTTAGTTGATGAGGACGAACGTTGAAACTCTAGCTAAGAAATTGAAAGAAAAGGTTTCGGGTATCAGAAATCATATAGTTGATAAGATTGAAAAACCTTTAAAGGATTGGATTAAGGATAATGGGGTTGCGCTGGATTCAGCCAAGCAGAAAGTTCAGAATGAAATTAATAGTTTAAGGACAAATACGAAACTATACACCAACTTGAAGGGATTAAGAAGATCATTAAAGGAGAGGATTCCTCTGTGTCAGATAAGAAACTTCAAGAGTTGGTCGAGAAGATTACATCAAAGCTTCGAGGGTTGGATGATCAGGTTGTGCATGATCTAAGTGGGTTGCAAAGTAAAATTGCTGAACCCATTGAGAAGTATTTTACTCATGTGACCGCGGCGTTAACTCACGGTGTGCGCGTGCTGGTGCCACTATTGTTGAAAATTTTGTTAACCAGTTTAAGGGTGCTAGTTCGCTGACAGACACTCCCGATTTGAAGGCGTGGGTTGAGAAGGAGCATAATGCACTTGAGGATGCCCTAGGTAGTTATAGATTCAGTTTCGTGAAAAGAACCGTTGAGGAACTTTGCAAACATAATTCCGCAACTCAAGGAAAAATATCTTCGACGTCATCAAAGATGAAATGAAGCACAATGTTAGAAGCACAATGACGGGTATGTGAAACAAAATGCGTTTAAAAATAAAATGACAAATTATAATGCACATATAGGTAATCCAGGCCAAGAAAGTGACATTACTATTCATGGAGCCATCCAAGCCGTCATTGCAAAAATTCAAGCACTCAATCTGGCATACGATGGCACTACAATCGCTGACTCTGATCTTCACGACCTTAAATCCACTCTTCCAGCTTCCATGGAATTACTTAAACTGAAAATTGCCGATGTTATTGGGGTCGTGACAGCAGTTGATAGTGGCATTCAGACCTCATTCAAAATTCACAGACCTTTTTCAGGCATTCTATATCGCTGCCAGGAGCAACCTTGGCAAAACAATTGATGATGCATTCACCCAGTTAAAAGATAAAATAGGGAACATTGACGTGCAGTTGAACAATGAGAAGAGAATGCTCGACACGATAGTTTCGGAATCGAAAGAAATATTCAGAAAAACGGAAAAGCTTGCAAAAGACCTTGCTGAGCCTGAATCAGGCATTCCGAAAGATATTAAAAGTCTGGAAGGGGAAATTACTAACTTGCAGCATGAGTTGCGGAAGCTGATAAATGTCATCGACAGTGCCGACCTAACTAGTAGAATAAGATTGGTGGGATCTGCGCTTGACGCTGGCAAGCAAGCTGTCATAGCCCATATCGACAAGATCGCATCTGACCTCAAGGACAAAATCGCTGTGGCGTCCAACGCCATCAAGAATAATGCTCAACAAAATTTTGCCGCTTCCAAAGAAAAGGAACTTAAGGAGTTGGAAGCATTAGTAAAGCAAAAAATCAGTGAAATAGAAAACATTATTACGAACGATAGAGAAAATGGCCTGAAAGGGTTACTGGGAAGGTTGAAAGCAAATGAGACGAAGCTCCAAGATGCTCAGAAGCAATGTGATCTAGTTAAGATGTCCACATACTTGAACATGTATCTGACTAAAGCCATTGAATATGCAAAAGACCAATTTAAAAGCGAGACAAAAACTAGAAAAGATGTCAACTTACTATCCCTTGTCTCCTATAATCTCTTCCTCGCCTGTCCGACCACTCCCACTGCTCCCACGAAGTCTCCAACAGGCTCTTCACGCTGTCCGAAAAAGTCTCCAACCTCCAACCCCTAGCGCTCCCGGACGCAGGACGGCCCGTGCTGACGGCGCTGCAAAGGGAATGGAGAGCTTCATTGAGCAGTTGCAAAAGCAGTACGTTTCGAGGTATTCGATGCAGCAGTGGAAGCAGGAGGAGGGAGAAGTATGCGAAGGTGTGCTTGACGATTATGGAGGAGTGAAAAAGGATATAGGTGATTTAAGTGGTGTATGTAATTCAAATAAAGACAGGCAAATTCATTTAGGTATGGTTGATAAGCAAGTCACAAAACCAGCAAAACCAAAAGTACCTGTAGAGCAGATACAAAATCCTCGGCGTCTGGTTGACCAACCGTGGTTACAAGGTGCCCACCGACAAGGACCAGCAAGATGGGGAGTTGCGGAATGAAACAACGTTCACGGGTGAGAAAATTAAGACAGGTTTGCTTGACGAAAAAATTAAGGGGGCTTTGAGCATCGACGTTCTAACGACGTGGAAGCCAAATAAGCAAGGCAGCGGCTTTAATGTCTTCGACATTGCCGATTTCCTTCGTGACTTTTCTCGAAGGTGTTACCGCGTCGGTCACTACTACATACCTTCCTCACCTAAATCACCGTCCAACGTATATAACATGCTGTGTTGGCTTGCCGGCCTCAAGTACAATCACATGTTTGACAGGATTGGCGAGCACTTCAAGGAGCTGTTCGAGAAGCCGAAGGATAAGAAAGATAAGCCGTATAAAGAATTTACCGACACAGAACTGAGCTTAGTTGGAACGTCACCAATTAATCCTGTTGGGACGACAACAATTACACCTAAGGAACTAAAAGACACACTCGGACAGGTTTGTTTATTCTCACGCAATGTACTCATCGCCTTCTGTGGCAATGGTCACGCTGAAGGGCGGTATGCCGTTGACTTTAGCTGTAACTCAGATAATTTATTATATCCAACCAATGCTAGTGCCTGCTTCGACATGCTCGTAGATATTCTGAATAGAGTGTTTTCTCAATTGCGATTCTTATGTAGCCAGTGTCAGAATGGGCCCACTCTTGGCGGCTGGGCTGACTGCTGGTATGGTCGTGGAGTAGGCGGATCAGCGTGGCTGTGCAATGATAGACAATGCCCTAACCAACAAGGTGACCAAATGGCTACCCAAAACAGTAACCAAAAGCACACCCAAAAGTGTGACCAAAAGTGTGACCAAAGTGTTAAGTGCGGCCTTAAGTCACCGTTGCAGTCCTTTTTGGAGGACGGTCTTCTTGGGTTCCTTCCTCATTCAATAACCTCTCCTGGTTGCAAGCTGACATGTAGTCTATCCAACCACAGAGGTATCCCCTGTAAAACACCGATGGGCTTTAATGATATTTCCCAAGTGGCGTCGCATACGAAGAGAGCATCGCATCTCAAGGATGCCCTTTCCTATTTCTGCGGCCCAGGTTCTAACTTTAAAAAGTTGTGTTCATACCTCTCGTGCCTCCTTCGCCGACCACCGCAAACTCTTGATGATATGCTAGCGTTCTACTATCAGTTCCTTAAGCACTGGGACAACAGAAATGTTAGGCAGCATAAGAGTGTCGCATTTGAAAAGGCTGTCAAAAAAGCAAGCTTCTGGAATAAGGAAATAACGCTGGACGTTGCGTCCTTACAGGCCAGCAAGGTGCACTCCGACAAACATTCTAAAGGAGACCTCTTTAGTCTTACTGATTGTAATGATAAGACAAAATCCGGCCTACCATGCGGTAAATACTTGCATCCGCTTACATTGGATATCCGTTCCATATTTTCGGAAAAACGCGCTGGTAACTATCTCTCCTGGGTGGTATACTGTACTGAGACATTCGTTGGTCTGCTCTACGATTTGTACGCATCATGCAAGAAGTGTGAGACGCCTGGCAGCAGATGCTGTGACAAGAGCTGTATTAAAACGTGTACGGTAAAATACACCAACGACCAAGGAGACGCCATTATCCCCAAAGCAAGCACCAATCACGATGCAAACTGCAGTTCCATTGTAAAGTGTACGGACACACATCCGACGTTATACAAATATGGGTTTAACATTGGCAGCGTTGTGGAGATTAATAATAGGTTCGACGCGAACAAAAAGCGAACGTGTAGAGACCTATGCAACGCACTGGACAGAGTGCTGAGTAAGAACACATCGGACGCAGCACCGCTAGCAAAGTTAATATACAAGACAATTCCAGATTATCTATGCAATATCAGATGGCCCTTCATGACGACATTGCTAGCCCTCTGGTCCCTCTCGCTCCTGTACCTTCTGCACATCGCCGTCGTCCGCCTCGACGTCCTCCGCATCCGCTCCCACCTGAGATCACCCGCAAGCCACCGCATCGCCGCACAGTCCCTGCTCGCCGCCGCACGCGTCAGGGCACTCGCCAACGTCAAGTACTTCTCACCATAATCGTGCCTTCACGTGTGATCTTTGTATCACGCACTCACTCACTCACATACTCACCCACTCACACACTCACCCACACACTCACTCAACCACCCACTCACCCACCCACTCAACCACCCACTCAACCACCCACTCACTCACATACTCACTCACTCACACACTCACTCACCCACTCACCTAATCACCTACCCGCTCACTCACCCACTCACCCACTGACTCAACCACCTCCCTCTTCCACTGGTCGCTTCGCTCCCTCCTCCATCACCCCCTCCATCACCTCCTCCGTCGGCGTCCCTCACCCAAATCCTAATTTTCCACCTTCCCCCTCCACCACCTTGACAATCGCAGCATTAAAACCATCTTTACCAGAGTGTTTATGAAGATTAAGAGATGTAATTGCATTATTAATTTCATCTTTATGTAAGCCTAATTTAGGCTTAATGTTACTTAAAACACCATGAAGGAACGCCATCACCCCGTCGCACAGCCTGTCGAGGTCGGAGTACACAATTCCCTCTCCGGTGTAATTACCATTATCGTAGCCGAGAAATTTTTCGAGGCCTGTGCAGAGGTTTTCTAAAAGGTTTTTACAATTATTGTCGTCAAAATGTTTTTCATTAATTTTCCCAGCAAAATCACAAAGCTCTTTCAGTGTCTGAAGAGACTTCTTGGAAGCCTGATGGGACTGAAGATCCTTAGAAAGCTTGTCAATTTGAGAGGCATTTTGAGGGGATTTATTCTCTTTTTTAAGCTGTTCATCTTGCTTTTTAAGCTCTTCAATTCTTTGATTAAGCTCCTGAATTTTTTGAGTAATTGACGTTTTAAGCTCTTTTAAGGGACCATTCGGACCATTTAAATTGCACTCAGAAAGGATGTTAACAAGATTTTTAGAGGCATTTTGATCATCTTTAAGCTTATTTTTAAGTGTCTCATTGGCATCATTAAGCTTTTTAATTGCCTCATCAACCTTACAACACCCCTCACCTCCGCAAGATGCTTGTAAACGCTTAATAAGCTGATTTACATTACTGTGCAAACCCTTCACAATTGCATCTTTAACTTCCTCTCCACCGCCAATTAAACCAGAAAGTTGTCCAGCAAGCTGACCAAGTTGGATACGGCGGGACTCAATATCATCCAAGGCTTTCCCCCTGGCGTCCTCAGTAAGGTAATGAACTTCATTGTAATGGTTATTATAGTTGGATTGAAGGTGGATTAAGGGAGGGTTAAAAGGAGTAAAGGTGGTGAAATGGTACATTTTCAGGGCGATTTGGGGGAATTTGGGGAAAGGCGATTTTAGGTCAAGGAGGCAGCGAGGCAGTTGAAGAGGTGGGTGGACGAGGCGGGGGAAGTGAAGGGGCGAAAGAGGGCGATGAGGGAGGTAGATGGGTTGAGGTAAGGCGGTTTAAGAGGTGGAGGGGAAAGGTGGAAAATGAGGATTTGGGCGAAGGACGCCGACGGAGGAGGTGAGGGAAGGAGGATGAAGGCAGGGAGCGAAGCGACCAGTGAAAGAGGGAGGTGGTTGAGTGGTTGAGTGGGTGGGTGAGTGGGTGAGTGAGTGGGTGAGTGGTTGAATGAGTGGTTGAGTGGGTGAGTATGTGGGTGGGTGAGTGAGTGGGTGGTTGAGTGGGTGGTTGGGTGATTATATGAGTGGGTGGGTGGGTGAGTGGGTGAGTGAGCGGGTAGGTGATTAGGTGAGTGGGTGAGTGAGTGGGTGAGTGAGTGGGTGGTTGAGTGAGTGGTTGAGTGGGTGAGTTGAGTGGGTGGTTGAGTGGGTGATTAGGTGAGTGGGTGAGTGGGTGGGTGAGTGAGTGGTTGAGTGAGTGGGTGAGTAGGTGGGTGAGTGGTTGAGTGAGTGAGTGGTTGAGTGGGTGAGTGGTTGAGTGGGTGAGTGGTTGAGTGGGTGGGTGGGTGGTTGAGTAAGAGAGTGTGTGAGTGTGTGAGTGAGTGGGTGTGTGGTTGAGTGGGTGAGTGGTTGAGTGGGTGAGTGGTTGAGTGGTTGAGTGGTTGAGTGGTTGAGTGATACGCAGATCACACGTGAAGGCACGATTATGGTGAGAAGTACTTGACGTTGGCGAGTGCCTTGACGCGTGCGGCGGCGAGGAGGGACTGCGCGGCGATCCTGTGGCTTGAGGGCGATCTCAGGTGGGAGCGTATCCTCAGGACGTCGAGGCGGACGACGGTGATGTGCAGCAGGTACAGGAGCGAGAGCGACCAGAGGGCTAGCAATGTCGTCATGAAGGGCCATCTGATATTGCATAGATAATCTGGAATTGTCTTGTATATTAACTTTGCTAGCGGTGCTGCGTCCGATGTGTTCTTACTCAGCACTCTGTCCAGTGCGTTGCATAGGTCTCTACACGTTCGCTTTTTGTTCGCGTCGAACCTATTATTAATCTCCACAACGCTGCCAATGTTAAACCCATATTTGTATAACGTCGGATGTGTGTCCGTACACTTTACAATGGAACTGCAGTTTGCATCGTGATTGGTGCTTGCTTTGGGGATAATGGCGTCTCCTTGGTCGTTGGTGTATTTTACCGTACACGTTTTAATACAGCTCTTGTCACAGCATCTGCTGCCAGGCGTCTCACACTTCTTGCATGATGCGTACAAATCGTAGAGCAGACCAACGAATGTCTCAGTACAGTATACCACCCAGGAGAGATAGTTACCAGCGCGTTTTTCCGAAAATATGGAACGGATATCCAATGTAAGCGGATGCAAGTATTTACCGCATGGTAGGCCGGATTTTGTCTTATCATTACAATCAGTAAGACTAAAGAGGTCTCCTTTAGAATGTTTGTCGGAGTGCACCTTGCTGGCCTGTAAGGACGCAACGTCCAGCGTTATTTCCTTATTCCAGAAGCTTGCTTTTTTGACAGCCTTTTCAAATGCGACACTCTTATGCTGCCTAACATTTCTGTTGTCCCAGTGCTTAAGGAACTGATAGTAGAACGCTAGCATATCATCAAGAGTTTGCGGTGGTCGGCGAAGGAGGCACGAGAGGTATGAACACAACTTTTTAAAGTTAGAACCTGGGCCGCAGAAATAGGAAAGGGCATCCTTGAGATGCGATGCTCTCTTCGTATGCGACGCCACTTGGGAAATATCATTAAAGCCCATCGGTGTTTTACAGGGGATACCTCTGTGGTTGGATAGACTACATGTCAGCTTGCAACCAGGAGAGGTTATTGAATGAGGAAGGAACCCAAGAAGACCGTCCTCCAAAAGGACTGCAACGGTGACTTAAGGCCGCACTTAACACTTTGGTCACACTTTTGGTCACACTTTTGGGTGTGCTTTTGGTTACTGTTTTGGGTAGCCATTTGGTCACCTTGTTGGTTAGGGCATTGTCTATCATTGCACAGCCACGCTGATCCGCCTACTCCACGACCATACCAGCAGTCAGCCCAGCCGCCAAGAGTGGGCCCATTCTGACACTGGCTACATAAGAATCGCAATTGAGAAAACACTCTATTCAGAATATCTACGAGCATGTCGAAGCAGGCACTAGCATTGGTTGGATATAATAAATTATCTGAGTTACAGCTAAAGTCAACGGCATACCGCCCTTCAGCGTGACCATTGCCACAGAAGGCGATGAGTACATTGCGTGAGAATAAACAAACCTGTCCGAGTGTGTCTTTTAGTTCCTTAGGTGTAATTGTTGTCGTCCCAACAGGATTAATTGGTGACGTTCCAACTAAGCTCAGTTCTGTGTCGGTAAATTCTTTATACGGCTTATCTTTCTTATCCTTCGGCTTCTCGAACAGCTCCTTGAAGTGCTCGCCAATCCTGTCAAACATGTGATTGTACTTGAGGCCGGCAAGCCAACACAGCATGTTATATACGTTGGACGGTGATTTAGGTGAGGAAGGTATGTAGTAGTGACCGACGCGGTAACACCTTCGAGAAAAGTCACGAAGGAAATCGGCAATGTCGAAGACATTAAAGCCGCTGCCTTGCTTATTTGGCTTCCACGTCGTTAGAACGTCGATGCTCAAAGCCCCCTTAATTTTTTCGTCAAGCAAACCTGTCTTAATTTTCTCACCCGTGAACGTTGTTTCATTCCGCAACTCCCCATCTTGCTGGTCCTTGTCGGTGGGCACCTTGTAACCACGGTTGGTCAACCAGACGCCGAGGGGATTTTGTATCTGCTCTACAGGTACTTTTGGTTTTGCTGGTTTTGTGACTTGCTTATCAACCATACCTAAATGAATTTGCCTGTCTTTATTTGAATTACATACACCACTTAAATCACCTATATCCTTTTTCACTCCCTCCATAATCGTCAAGCACACCTTCGCATACTTCTCTCCCTCCTCCTGCTTCCACTGCTGCATCGAATACCTCGAAACGTACTGCTTTTGCAACTGCTCAATGAAGCTCTCCATTCCCTTTTGCAGCGCCGTCAGCACGGGCCGTCCTGCGTCCGGGAGCGCTAGGGGTTGGAGGTTGGAGACTTTTTCGGACAGCGTGAAGAGCCTGTTGGAGACTTCGTGGGAGCAGTGGGAGTGGTCGGACAGGCCGAGGAAGAGATTATAGGAGACAAGGGATAGTAAGTTGACATCTTTTCTAGTTTTTGTCTCGCTTTTAAATTGGTCTTTTGCATATTCAATGGCTTTAGTCAGATACATGTTCAAGTATGTGGACATCTTAACTAGATCACATTGCTTCTGAGCATCTTGGAGCTTCGTCTCATTTGCTTTCAACCTTCCCAGTAACCCTTTCAGGCCATTTTCTCTATCGTTCGTAATAATGTTTTCTATTTCACTGATTTTTTGCTTTACTAATGCTTCCAACTCCTTAAGTTCCTTTTCTTTGGAAGCGGCAAAATTTTGTTGAGCATTATTCTTGATGGCGTTGGACGCCACAGCGATTTTGTCCTTGAGGTCAGATGCGATCTTGTCGATATGGGCTATGACAGCTTGCTTGCCAGCGTCAAGCGCAGATCCCACCAATCTTATTCTACTAGTTAGGTCGGCACTGTCGATGACATTTATCAGCTTCCGCAACTCATGCTGCAAGTTAGTAATTTCCCCTTCCAGACTTTTAATATCTTTCGGAATGCCTGATTCAGGCTCAGCAAGGTCTTTTGCAAGCTTTTCCGTTTTTCTGAATATTTCTTTCGATTCCGAAACTATCGTGTCGAGCATTCTCTTCTCATTGTTCAACTGCACGTCAATGTTCCCTATTTTATCTTTTAACTGGGTGAATGCATCATCAATTGTTTTGCCAAGGTTGCTCCTGGCAGCGATATAGAATGCCTGAAAAAGGTCTGTGAATTTTTGGAATGAGGTCTGAATGCCACTATCAACTGCTGTCACGACCCCAATAACATCGGCAATTTTCAGTTTAAGTAATTCCATGGAAGCTGGAAGAGTGGATTTAAGGTCGTGAAGATCAGAGTCAGCGATTGTAGTGCCATCGTATGCCAGATTGAGTGCTTGAATTTTTGCAATGACGGCTTGGATGGCTCCATGAATAGTAATGTCACTTTCTTGGCCTGGATTACCTATATGTGCATTATAATTTGTCATTTTATTTTTAAACGCATTTTGTTTCACATACTCCGTCATTGTGCTTCTAACATTGTGCTTCATTTCATCTTTGATGACGTCGAAGATATTTTTTCCTTGAGTTGCGGAATTATGTTTGCAAAGTTCCTCAACGGTTCTTTTCACGAAACTGAATCTATAACTACCTAGGGCATCCTCAAGTGCATTATGCTCCTTCTCAACCCACGCCTTCAAATCGGGAGTGTCTGTCAGCGAACTAGCACCCTTAAACTGGTTAACAAAATTTTCAACAATAGTGGCACCAGCACCGCGCACACCGTGAGTTAACGCCGCGGTCACATGAGTAAAATACTTCTCAATGGGTTCAGCAATTTTACTTTGCAACCCACTTAGATCATGCACAACCTGATCATCCAACCCTCGAAGCTTTGATGTAATCTTCTCGACCAACTCTTGAAGTTTCTTATCTGACACAGAGGAATCCTCTCCTTTAATGATCTTCTTAATCCCTTCAAGTTGTTGGTGTATAGTTTCGTATTTGTCCTTAAAACTATTAATTTCATTCTGAACTTTCTGCTTGGCTGAATCCAGCGCAACCCCATTATCCTTAATCCAATCCTTTAAAGGTTTTTCAATCTTATCAACTATATGATTTCTGATACCCGAAACCTTTTCTTTCAATTTCTTAGCTAGAGTTTCAACGTTCGTCTCCTCATCAACTAACGTTCTTGTAAGTTTCTTGATAGATTTCGTGACACGATTGGCTCCAGTTACAAGCTCACTCTGAAGTTCACGAATATTCAGTTCCCTAGCCTGAAAAGCAACCCCCGCTAGCTTTTCAGTTAATTCCCCCCTAATCTGTGTATCGAGTTCCTCCAGCTTTCCAGCATTCAATTTCGCAGACGATATCGTCGTCTTGGTCGTCTCTGTCAATGTTGTTAACATGTTAACAGCACTCTCCCGGGCTCTATCTACATCCAAACTCTTTGATTTAAGAGTAGAAATGTCAATCTCAACCTCTTTGAAAATTCCTTCAACCATTACGGGAGCTTCCTGTGCAATCCCTCTTGCAAATTCATTCAACACCCCAACTTGCTTGGCAACTTCGATAAGAACGTTTTTTAAGTCCTCATTTTCTGCCGATTTTTGGAAGTTTTCCACTGCTTGCTTAATTAATTTGATTGGAACTTCAAGCTTACGCTGCAAACTTTTGTCAAGTTTTATTAGTTCCTTTTCTGCTTCAACAGCACTCTTTACATAAGAAGCAGATTGAGATTTCCAATGTTCACATTGTTCTTTAACCTCCATTGTTTGGATTTCTGCAGCTTTTGTGCGCACTTTTATGCCTTCATGAATCTCATCTATATATGCTGTAATTTCCTCCGTTTTGAAATCCAAATTGCTCTTCCACCTTTCAAGCCCCCTCTCCACCACAGGCAGAAACCCTTCAAAACCCTTTCGGCCCGTTTGCAACATTACTTTGATAGACTTAACATCAATATCTACATTAGTCCAGTACATTTTAACACTCTCATCATCTTTCACCTCACTAAGCATCCCGTGCAAGAACGCCATCACCCCGTCGCACAGCCTGTCAAGGTCGGAGTACACGATGCCCTCGCCGGTGTAGCCTTTGGAAGTTTCTTGGTAACCAAGGAACTTCTCCAGGCCGGAGCACAAATTTGTTAAAAGCTTTTTAGTATTATCTTCTTTAGTATCAATTTTCTCAGCATATCCACAAAGCTCTTTCAGTGTCTCAAGAGACCTCTTGGAAGCATTATGAGACTGCAGATCCTTATTAAGCTTGTCAATTTGAGAGGCATTTTTAGGAGATTGATAGGCATCATTAATATTAAAAAGGAGGTGAAATGGCACATTTTCAGGGCGATTTGGGGGAATTTGGAGGAAGGCGATTTTAGGGTAATGGAGGCAGCGAGGGAGTGAGGGAGGTGCGTGGACAGGGCGAGGGAGGTGAAGGGGCGAAAGAGGGCGATGAAGGGGGAGGATGGGTTGAGGTAAGGCGATTTTGGAGGTCAGAGGAATTTTGTGGAAAATGAGGATTTGGGTGAGGGACGCCGACGGAGGAGGGGAGGGAGGGGGGAGGAGGGAGCGAAGCGACCAGTGAAGGAGGGAGGTGAGTGAGTGAGTGGTTGAGTGGGTGAGTGGGTGAGTGGGTGGGTGAGTGTGTCAGTGGTTGAGTGGGTGGTTGAGTGAGTGGGTGAGTGGGTGGTTGAGTGGGTGAGTGGGTGAGTGAGTGGGTGAGTGGGTGGTTGAGTGGTTGAGTGGGTGATACGCAGATCACACGTGAAGGCACGATTATGGTGAGAAGTACTTGACGTTGGCGAGTGCCTTGACTCTTGCGGCGGCGAGCAGCGACTGGGCGGCGATGCGGTGGCTTGAGGGTGATCTCAGGTGTGAGCGTATTCTCAGGACGTCGAGGCGGACGACGGTGATGTGCAGCAGGTACAGGAGCGACAGCGACCAGAGGGCTAACAACAGGTAGGAGAAGGGTTCTCTGATGATCCATAGGAATTCATCACATTTTCCGAATAGCTTTGTGAAATAATCAGAATGTAATACATTCTTTAACTGACTACAGAAATCGGAACACGTTCTAGGCCTACTCTCAGCATTTAATTTCCATGCTTCACCAAAACTTAATCCACATTTATATAATGTTGGTGAAACGCCTTTGCACTGTACCATGGATTTACACTGACAAGTAACATCTTTCTTATCATCCTCGACAACACCATGCTTGCCACGCTTACACTTGTTGCCACGCAGACAACTACGGCATCCCCAGTCCTGGCAGAAGATGTCACAGAACTCATCGTATAGATTTTTGAGACACTCCCAAAATGCCCAGGGGGAGGTAAATGGACCAGGAGAGGTATAGATTGGCATGCTTGTTGACGAGGTCATGATATGAATAACGGCATAGAGGTGAAACATATGGAACACACTCTATATTTTTGGTCTTGCGACTACATACGCCGAATGACGTGAGATGCGTAAGATGATGATGCGTGCAATCAGTATGATCAGCCGACGCCGATCCATAGGCATCTATGATGGCTTTAGTAAGATCGTCTGGATTATCATAAAGTTTTATGGACGCATTACGGATGGACGACTTAATGCGCTGTTCATAGGGGTCCGTGGCTATGTTACGCCAACCATTAACCAACGTAATCGCAAATGAGAAGTGCTCTGGTAGCGTGGATGGTGGTTTGGGGGCTATGCAGAATAACGGTGAAAGGTTGGCACTGCTGAAGAATCTGCCGAGCGCTTCACACAGCTCTTTGCCTGTCCTTGTAGAGCCAGAAAACCCTCTAAAGCCGAGAGGCGTTAAACATGGCTGCCCGGGCTTGGATTTGGGACAGGTGTTACATGTAGCTCTACAACCGATGGCACTGACATCATGAGGAAGGTGACCGGGTAATGTGTCATTTAGGTAAGACATTAGTGGTGATTTTGGTTGGCACGTAGGTTCACCATTTGGTCGGCACATAGGTTGGCAATTTGATTCCTTGGTTGAATGGTCCTTGCAAGGCCAGTTGGCCGGAGCTATGTCCTTGCCGTATTCACACTGCTCCCAGCCTCCGTGCTGAGTACTGAGTTTACATTTACTCTTTAAAAATCGTAACGTCGGTAATAGTTTACGCAATATATCAAGCAATGTATGCAAACAGTCTGCACCGCTCGTGGGATATTTAAGATTAAGGGAGTTGTTCGATAATTCAACACCGTAGAGGGTATCCTCGTCGCCGGTGCCGAGGATGGTTATGAGCAAGTTGTGTGAATACTTACATAAAATAGGTAAACCATGATCAACGGCGTCTGATAGACGATTTTTGAAATCGGTGTCTGCCGCCTTATCAGTATCATTGGTGTCATACTCATCACAATATTTTACTAACAACTCATAGACACTGTTGAACTGGAGACCACAGCACCACGCAAGCATTTCGTAAATAGAACATGGAACTCTGGGTGACGGAATATGCTTGTTGTGACCTATCTGGTTATATTGATTAAGGTATGGAACAAGAGTTTCGAGAAGCTGAATGACGGATGTGGAGGCGGGGGTATATGGTAGCAAGTCTTTAATTCCCTCGCCTTTGAATTGGGTGTAGGGAAATCTCAACTCCCCTTTCTTGGATGCTTCATTTTCGGCGACACGGAATCCACAGCCTTTCAGGAAACTTCCAAGTGGATTATCTCCCTTGCTATCTGTTTCGCAGATATATTTGTCGCTCCAGCGGCCTTCGCATTCATCTCGTAATTTAAACAAATTTTCGTATATCATTCTTGAAATGGTGAGGAATACTCTAGCGGCCTTTCGACCCTCCTCAGTGAACTCATTGATACGCTTGGATTCCCTAGTGTCAACTTGGTATCCATCAAACGCCCACCTATCTTTAGGTTTTTGACCACTATACTTATTCACGTACGCGTGGGAGAGTTGCTCGGTGAATTTGGTCATGCCGGACTTGAGGGCGTCGAGGAGCAGCGGGTTGTGGAAGCCGTGGAAGTGGGAGGGGGAGAGCTTAAGTAGAGACGCATTAAGAGCATCTAAATAAGACGTGGAAATGTGATCGAAAGTGTATTTATTATCATCATGATGAGCAACATATTTTATCAAGCGGTCGAACGCATCTTTAATGTCTCCGACCTGAAGTGACTGCTCAGTGGGCTTGACAATGGCACTTGGATTTCTCGCTTGACCACCGATGTAATCCAAAATAATGTCTGAATATTCTCTGAATTTGTCGGATACGTTTTTTAATTTTGTACGATCTTCTGTGTTTCCCTGAGGTTTCACGGCTGGCGCAGGAGACGGAGATACAAGACGCTGGATTTCTTCAAGCGTACTTTTATTACTACTCATCCACTTTAAAAGCCCCTTAACACCGTTGCTTTTATCATGTCTAATTATTTTATCGATCTCTTTTTCCTGCCCGTCGACCAGCGTTTTGAGCGCCGCCAGGTCGGCTTTGTGGCCCTGGGCGAAGAGAGCGCGGACGTCATCTGTGACCGTTTTGAAAGCCTTCTCTGCGGCATTTTGTACAGCAGCAATCGCAGCTATCAAAACGTCATCAGCCATTGTAACTGCCAGACGTATGAGGTGAAGCTTCTCGTTAAGTTCCCGTTTCAAATCTTTTATTGTAGTATCGGCTTCATTTCTCTTTTTACATATCACGTACTTATCATCGTTTTCTTCTTTACACATGTTATCAAGGTGAGTAAGAACGCTCTTCAGTCCGTTTTTCTCATCATCGAGCCTATGCTTAATCGAACCTTCCCTGTCAGCCTGCTGCAGTATTGGATCGAGGTTATCTATTGCGGCCGTGACCTTATTCAGAAATGTATCAATCTTACCGCCAATGCCATTCGTTCCAAGTAGCTCGCCGATATGTGTCAATTGCCTTGTAGCCGCTTCCACGTTGGTCATTTGTGCCGCTTTCCTGAAGTTTTCTAGTTGTGCTGCAACACGCCTTGAAGTATGTGCGAGTGCAGCTAGAGCGAACTGCATGGCTGGTGTGAGAGCATGACTTTCATAACCAGTGGAGCCTTCTTTCTTAACTTTATTCCCAATATCATTGACTACTTCATCGACAAAGGAATTGTTAAAACTCTTATGATCTCCCTTCCCATCCTTAATCTTCCCCTCAAGTTCACTGGCAAATTGATTGCAGCCTTGTTTTACAGCTCCAATATAATCTTGAATCTTATGGTTTGAATTCTGGGCAGTTGAAATCATTTGCTGGACCTTGACACCGGCTGAAGATATTGCTTTGCCAAGTTTATCCTTAATAACTGCCATGATCTTAGGATGGATATCCTTTGCTTCAGTGATGCCAATCTGCAGTTGACTACCGCTTTTATGACTCTTGTTATATTTAACATACTTATCAATCCATGCATTCACCTGTTCTAAATTGAGGATATTATTTATCCAGCCCTCCATTATTTTTTCGAAATTCCGATTTATGCCATTATCTTTTCCGAACTGCTGAGCAAACGACTTTACACCGTCAACGACATCAACAAGGGAACCATGCCCTCCCGGAGTTTTGGCAATATTACCCACAAGATCCGGAACAGTATCTTTAATCTCATTCCAATTCTTCTGTATACTAGAGCCTCCGCCCGTTTTCTGCGCAATTCCCTTGGAAATCTCACCAAAATATACCTGAGCACTCCCCACCAACTTTTCAAGCGCCATCTTCTTCTTTTCTAAACATGTATAAGCCCTACTAGTTTCTACCTGTATCTCCCTAAACTTGTTCAAGATTACCCTAGTATAATTGTCATCAAACTCATTATTCATGAAGTTCTGCGCAGTCTCTACACAGTCATTAATATTCTTAAAATGCTTTACTTTTTGGTCTCTCAAGTTTTTAATCTCCCACAGCACATTCCTCCGCTGCCACTCCAAAGTGTCATCTACGCTCTTCACTTGTTGCACAAACGCCGGGTTGTTAGCCGCCCCAAGCAGCATCCCAACCGATTTCTGAATCGGCTTCATCTCATGCATTATGCGTGCCTTAAGTGCGCTATCTATGACATTAACTTCATTAGTTTTTATCTTTGTGAGCTCAGCTTGAATCTTCCCGAGCGTCCCCGTCCACATGGTAAGCTGGACACTAAGGCCGTTATGTTCATTGACCTCTTGAACATATTCACCTGCATCAGATGATAATTTAGTAATCAACTCACCTAATCCTCCAGTCACTGCTCCAGTCTTCTTTTCAACTTCTCCATTATATTTCCCCAACCACTCCTTCACCTCGTTCACAGACAGCGAAAGGCCATTACGCCCAGTGCCAATTTTAGAAAATACATCACGAAGAACATTATCTAAACCATCATTATTATTTGATAATTTAATGTAATTATCATATTTCGTCACACTCTCATCGTTTTTCACTTCACTGAGAACACCGTGCAAGAACGCCATCACCCCGTCGCACAGCCTGTCAAGGTCAGAGTACACGATGCCGGAGCCATCGTAGCCTTTGGAAGTTTCTTGGTAACCAAGGAACTTCTCCAGGCCAGAGCACAGGTTAGTAAGTAAATGATGTGGATTATTAAGGACATTTTTAAGATGATTTGGGGGAGTTTGGAGAAAGGCGATTTTAGGTGAAGGAGGCAGCGAGGGAGGTGGGTGGCTTGGGACCAAGGCAGAAGAGTGTTGAGACAAGGCCGCTAGCAAAGAAATCACTGATGATTTTACATAGCTCTTTACCTGTACGTGTACTGCCAGAGAAACCTCTGAACCCAAGAGGAGTGAGGCAGGGCATTCCTGGCTTACTACCGGGACAAGTTAAACATGTCGACTTACACCCAACACTAGTGAGCTCATGAGGCAAGTGGCCTGGTAAGCAGTCGTTTAAGTAAGACATTAATGGAGAGGTTGGTTGGCATTTTACTTGACTATTTGGCTGCCCATTTGCTTGGTCATTTGGTTGGCCGTTTGGCTTATTGGTTGAATGCTCCTTGCACGGCGATTTGGTTATCTTGATATCTCTGCCGTAGGAACACTGACGCCAACCGCTGACTGATGACGGATAACTGCACTGGCTCTCCAAGAATTTGAGGGGAGGGAACAGTCTACGAAGGATGTCAAGTAGATTTTGAAGGCACTCGGCACCGCTGGTTGGATATTTGAAACCATGTGAATTTACAGGGAACTCACACGCGTATACGGTCTCTGCATTGCCGGTGCCGGCGATGGCTGTAAGCAATCGGTAAGCGTCCGATGTAACGTGTTTAAGTGCAGAGGTAATATGGCCGTTTGATATTGGATTTGGATAGGCTGGAATGGGCACCGGAATTGCTGTGTCAGGATCACGCTCTTCCCTCTTTTTCTCAAACAGTGAATCACAATGCTCATGGAGCTTTTCATAAACAGCGTTGAACGGCAACCCGGTCAGCCACAATAACATCTCGTACATACTACACGGGGTTCTGGGTTTGTCAATGTGAGTGGTGTGGCAAACATTAAAGTAAAATTGCATATATGCGTTTAGATTTGTGATGACACCCTCATCCGTTGTAACCTCTACGGTCAGCTCAGCAGAGTCTACGGGATGGTCGGATGGGAGGTCAACGGGTTTGCTCGATGCAAACAACTTATGTGATAAACTACTGAAAAGTGTAAGTATACTGCTACCAGTGAAATTATCTCTATGATTCAATTCGCCGTATGGTGTAGTTGACTCGGAGCCAACATCGTAACCGTTCTCACGGAAGAAAAGAGCGTGGAGGGTAGAATTGGATGGCGTGAGCGAATACATTTTGTAGTTTTTCCATTTACTATTTTCTTTCTCGAGGTCCTCGACGAGCTCACTTAGACTGCACAATAAAATGGGCGTGATACTGAACATGATTTTTGCGTACTTTTCTTTTTCCTCCTGACCGATGTTATCCCAGTCAATTTTCTTCTGGGAGTATGTCGAGACGTACGCCTTCTGGAGTTCGGCGAGCAGGGAGGAAAAGCCTTTCTTTAAAGCGTCGATAATAAAAGGGTTCTTTGTCTCGCCAATTGTTAAAGGGTTAAGCTTGCGAAGCTCATTTTCGAGCGACTCTGAATTTTCCATAAATGTCTGGTTGAAGTGCTGCGATGTTATGAGCTCTGCCAGCATTTTCTGCAATGCATCATTTGACGTCTCAATTTTTCGGAAGTCTTTACTGAAGTCCGGGTTTTTTTGGTAATCACGGAAGAATCTTCTGACGCTTCCATGCAACTTTGTGGCCGCTTGACTGAGTGGAGATTTTTCTGGTGACGGCGTATTTTCAATGTCCTTAATCCCTATGATTGATTTAGAGTTCGTAATAAAATGTTCTTCAAATTTGGCCATGAAGCCCTTGAATCCTAGTGTTAAGTCATGTAAAATATCTTGTGGCAAAGGTTTCAGATCCTTTTCCACCTTCTCGGCAAAAGATGTAAGCAAACGTTTTATGGCGTTAACGTGGTTCTTGCGCGCCTGGGTTGTTATAAGCTCTTGAGCCTTTTGGACCTGTTGGCCAACGTGTTCATGAACTGGTTTAAGGTATTGCTCACATAGACGTCCAGCGCCGGAGACGAAGTCTGTAGCAGCCTTAATGGGACCATCTTCCAGCTGTTTTCGCAGCTCACTGAGTTCACTGTGGATTTTGTTCAGACCCTTCTGCGTTTGCTTCTGGCCATTAGTAATTACGTCAACGTGTGATTTCTCAATAAGAGCTTTCAACGCTGTTAATTTCGTCTTGACACTGTTAGGATCGGTGTCGGCGGCTTTTTTAATAGCAGCGCACATTTCTTTAAGGTTGTGGGTGACAGTCGCGGCGTACGTTTGAAGTGCGTTATATGGCTCTAAAGCGGCATGTAGAGCGTTCTCCACCTCAGTTTGGATTTTCTTGATGGCGTCGTCTAGCAATTTTTTATTCGTGGTGTCTTCGGTCCCTGGCCTCGGATTGGTGAAGGAAAGAGGAAACTTGTCAAGAGTTTTTATTTTGCCACCTTCATCCTCCCCCACCTCCTTATTCAGTACCTTATCGATCGTCTTTTGGATGTTGTGCTTAAGCTCAATGGGTTTGCTGGCGTAGGGGTCGAAGGGGGTGGAGGACTGGTAGACATCAGGGGCTTGGCCGGTCGTGGCGAGCGCCGTGCCAAAAGCACTGTCCAGCTCGGTAGCCACTTGAAGCGCGGCGTCGATGTTCTCGCCAATCTTGTTGTCGTTATAGTCTTCCGATCCGGCGAAAGACTCCAGCATCTCGGCAGCCTGGTTAGCCTTGGAGAGGAGAACGGCTAACACGGTTTTAACGGCCGATCTGAGATATCCGTTATCTGTTGAACCTCTCCCTGATTTCGCCACCTTGTCATCAATGGCATCTGCGATCCCTTTTACGAAGAGTTTTGGATCATCCAAACTAAGTGTATTCTTGTCTACGCTTTGCCCAAGCAACGCCGCAAACGCACTGATACAACTGTAGACAGCGGTGATGTTGGCTTGAATTTTGTCGTCGGCTTCTTGGATCTCGCCTTGTCCCGCCTCTACCGCCTCGTTAATAACACCTTCCCTAAGCGCATCCTTCATCGCTTCTGCGATGCCTATGTATTTTCCTAGTTCATCTTTATTCCCCTCCCACTTGTCATACGGTTCCTTAAATTTATCACTGTTTTTGCTATACCCAAAATATTGCGAAAGCAAATATTTAACTTGTGCATTCTCTCTCAAAGTCTCATCAATCCATTTTTGCACAGTCATCTCAAATCCTCGGTCACCATCTTTGAACAACGCAGCATACTCCTGTATGATCCTCTTCTTAACCCCCTCCAGCCCTTTATCCTGTCCTTTCTCCCCCTTTATCTCCTTAACCTTCGTTTGCACTTCTCCAACATACTTTTGAACGTATCCCGCAAGCTTGGTCAGCAGCTGCGTTTTCACATCATTCAAATCCGTCTTAACGGCAGTCTTCAAAGTTTCAACAGCTGCAAGCGCCAATTTAACTTCTTCTCCGACTTTCTGTGTAGCCCCTTGCCCAGCATCAAAAATCTGATGGACTGCCAACGTAATCTGATCTACCGTGGATTTGATCCGACCAGGATTATTTATGACAGAGTCCTCGTTTACCTCCTCCAAGATTTTCTGTAATTTCTCTAACGCCTTGTCAATTGCATCATTCGCATTATCAATCCACTTGCCAAGCTGATTCACATACACATTAAATGTACTACTAATTTGCTTCAGCTGATCCACTACCTTCTGCACCGCCTCTTTCAGAGACCTAACAAGCTCTGTTACCTTTTCGGTAATTTTCGTTTTCACGCACTCGCCGTGCTCCTTGAGCACCTCTTGAATGCTCTCCTGCATACTATTAAAATCCTCACATTCTTTCTCTGACAAGGCCTTCAGCCTCTCCGTCTCATGGCTCACCGCCCTCAACGCCACATGTACACGTTCACGCAATTTCTCATTCAGATTACTAATAGAATCACGCATATCTGTTTGTTGCTTAAGATTAAAAGCTGTGTTAAAGGTCTCTGCTTTCTGCCGGCATTCCGTCAATTTCTCTTTCATAGTCTTCTCCGCCGCCTCCAGCACATCTTCCTTCATGTCATCCGTCACCTGAAACCTATTAATGCTACCAAGTAACTCACCTCGATTTCTGACGTACCTAATCAACACATTCATCGGCGTGCTCACCATAGAATTCGAACGCTCAACACTCACATTATACTCATGTACACCACTGGCCACCGCGGCTATCGCCGCCCTGTATTTAGCAATACCATTAAGATTTGTGTCTTTAAGTGAAGTAAGTGCGCTAGTTAAATGTGTTTTATGCTGGCCTAATTTGTCTTTAATGTTATCTAAAACACCATGAAGGAAAGACATCACCCCGTCGCACAGCCTGTCAAGGTCGGAGTACACAATTCCCTCTCCGGTGTAACTCCCGTTACTGAAGCCGAGAAATTTTTCGAGGCCTCCACAAAGACTCTCTAAAAGCTTTTTACAATTTTTATCGTCAAAGGAATTTTTTTGAATTTTTTCAGCATATCCACAAAGCTCATTCAGTGTCTTAAGAGACTTCATGGATGCCTGATGAGACTGAAGATCCTTATTAAGCTTGTCAATTTGAGAGGCATTTTGAGGAGGTTAATAGGCAATTTAAATATTAAAAAGGAGGATGAAATGGCACATTTTCAGGGCGATTTGGGGGAATTTGGGGAAAGGTAAAATTAGGTCAAGGAGGCAGTGAGGGGGTGAGGGAGGACAGGGTGAGGGAAGTGAGGAGGCGATAGAGGGCGACGGAGGGGGAAGATGGGTGGAGGGAAGGCGATTTTAGGGGTGAAGGGAGAAAGTGGAAAATGAGGATTTGGGTGAAGGACGCCGACGGAGGAGGTGATGAAGGGGTGAAGGGAGGGAGCGAAGCGACCAGTGAAGGAGGAGGTGAGTAGTTGAGTGAGTGGTTGAGTGGGTGAGTGGGTGGTTAGGTGGTTGAGTGGTTGAGTGGTTGAGTGGGTGGGTGGTAGACTGGGTGGTTGAGTGAGTGGGTGAGTGGGTGGGTGTGTGAGTGAGTGGTTGAGTGGGTGGTTGAGTGGGTGGTTGAGTGGGTGGTTGAGTGGGTGGTTGAGTGGTTGAGTGGGTGGGTGGTAGACTGGGTGGTTGAGTGAGTGGGTGAGTGGGTGGGTGTGTGAGTGAGTGAGTGAGTGGGTGGTTGAGTGGGTGGTTGAGTGGGTGGTTGAGTGGGTGGTTGAGTGAGTGAGTGGTTGAGTGAGTGATTGGGTGGGTGAGTGAGTGGTTGAGTGGGTGGTTGAGTGGTTGAGTGGGTGAGTGAGTGGGTGAGTGAGTGGTTGAGTGGGTGAGTGAGTATGTGAGTGGGTGATACACAGATCACACGTGAAGGCGCGATTATGGTGAGAAGTACTTGACGTTGGCGAGTGCTTTGACGCGTGCGGCGGCGATAAGCGACTGGGCGGCGACCCTGTGGCTTGAAGGTGATTTTAAGTGGGAGCGTATCCTCAGGACGTCGAGGCGGACGACGGCGATGTGCAGCAGGTAGAGGAGCGAGAGCGACCAGAGGGCTACGAGAGTCCATATGAACTTTTCTCTAATATCGAAAAGGAATTGTGGAATATGCTTGTGCACTAAGTCATAGAGAACGCTACCGTCCTTTACAACTTTCTCGAAAGTTCTGCAGAAATCCTGACATGTGCGCTTCATTTCCTTCTTCTTCTCGCCACTCAGTCCATGTGGGCTTCCGAAGGTGAAACCGTATGCATATAGTGTAGGATGCATATTTTGACATGAGACAATGGAAGTGCATATATCTTCATGTTTTAAATCCCTGAGTTGTTTGTAAGTAGTATTAGAGCTGTAAGCACTGTTCACTGTACACTTGTCGCCACAGCGTCTATCGTGGCACCTGGTTCCTGGCTTATTGCACCTTGCACAACATTCATCATACAATTTTTTGAGCAGGTCATAAAATGTTTCTGTGACATATACGACCCATGATAGATATTTGTCGGCGTGCTCCTTGGAGAATGTGTGTCGGATTTCAGCGTCGATTGACTGCAAATATGGGCCGCACGGGACAGCTGGATTATCATTTGCATTACATATACTGAGGCTGAACAGATCACCTTTTTCATGCGTATTGCTAGAGTGTGTACTGTGTTTTTGAATGGATGTAATGTCCAACGTCGTTGCCGTATCACCGAAGTTGGCGGCGCTCACAGCCTCATGGAATGCAACACTCTTATACACCGACGCAATATTCTTGTCACCCCAGTACCTGAGCAATCTATTGTAGAATGCAAACATATCACCCAGGGTCTGTGGAGGTGTATTCACAAGACAGATGAAGTAACTGCAGAGCCTGCTTACTGGTGTATTAGATTTGCCGCAAAAATAGTCTAGGGCGGCCTCGAGATGGTCGCCCGTTTTGGTATGCGATGCGGCGACACCAATATCGCTAAAGCCCATAGGGGTTTTACATGGTAACCCCCTGTGCTTACCGATGGAACACATAACTCCACACCCAACATTGATAACTGGATGTGGCAGAAAGCCTTGTAAACCATCTTCCAAGAACGATTGGAGAGGGGATTTCATGCCGCAGCTAGGATGTTGGTCACACATTTGGTTAGCTGCTTGGTTACCACTTAGGTTACCATTTTGGTTACCACTTAGCTTGCACGCTTGGTTACCACACTGCTTCTCATTGCAGTTCCATGATGAACCGCCTACGTGCCTGCCGTAGTGGCATTCACGCCAACCACCCCTACTGCGGCCGTTACGACACTGGCTATATACGAAGTGTAATTGATGAAATACTCTCTTCAATATGTCTACAAGCATGTAAAAACAGGCAGATGGATTAGATGGATATAATAATTTGTCTAAGTTTGTGCGGAAATCGCAGGCGTAACGGCCGTCGGCGTGACCGTGACCTAGTATGGCAACTAGCGTAAGTTGTGACCGTAAGCAAACCTGTACAAGTTCGTTGGTCATTTGGGTGGCTTTAACAGTTGTATTTTTTGCGTATGTGGGCGGGTCTGGCGTAACTACATCCAATTGCTTTGTCTTTTCGTCAAACAGATTACTGAAGTAAACATTAATTTTATCGTACATCGGATTAAAGTATAACCCGGAGAGCCACTGAAGCATTTGGTAGATATTGGAAGGTGCTTTAGGTGAATCGATATGTATATGTTGACATACATTGTAGTACTTTCGGAAAAGAGAGCGAAGGAAGTCAACATAGTCGAAGAGATTAATTTTATTGTGCGTAGTACTGGAAGAAGCAGAAATTTTTTTACCAGTCGCCCACTCAACAAGGGATGTAATGGCGGAAACGTCGATGAGATTATTGCTGAGAAGATTCTCATGAATTTTTATACCTGTCGTCTTCTCAGATCTCTGCAGTTCACCGTCCTGCTTGTCCTTGTCGGTCGCCACATTGAAGCCTCGGGCTGCGAAGGCTGTTCCTAGGGCATTTTTAATTTGTTCCGGTTGTGCTCCACTTTTACCCGCAGGGGCGCCAGGTTTATTAATTAAACCGGAATGAATTTGCGTAGTCTTATTGTTATTACTTTCTCTACTTAAATCGCCCAAATGTTTTTGTACCCCGTCCATAATAGTAACCAGAACTTTAGCGCATTTCATCGCTTTTTCCGACGGCACTGTTTCTTGAGGTTTTGTATCATCAACGCTTTGTGTCCACTCAAAGCGTTCCGCGGCTCCCGAGTACCTGCTGACGTACTGCTTGCGTAGCTCCTGCGCGAATTTCTCAAGGCCCTGCTTCAGGGGCTTAAGCACGCTTTTGGGGGCGTCGGGGAACGTGTCGGCGGGGAATTGTTGGAGCGCGTCTTCGAAGGCCTGCCGCGCCGTGGAGACGGCGTGGTGGAAGTGCTGGTGGTGGAGCAGTTTGTCGAAGACGTTATCCAGGGAGGCGTGGAGTGTCTTGATTTGGGGAGCTTGGTCGGTGATGTCGGATTGAGATTGTAAATAGTGGCATAAATCTTCGAAGTATTTTTTGATTTCGACGGCTAAGGGACGCATTGTTTTATGGTCAAATGTTATGGATCGCAGTGAAATTTTCACGAGACGTAAGAGGCCTTTTGGGCCGGTGATTCTGTCGCGGGAGATGATGGATTTTATTTCGGCGAGCTGGGCGGAAACGAGGGATTTTAGGGCGGTCAAATGGGCTATCGTTTGGTCAGCAAACATGTCTTGAACCTGATTTGTTAGGATGTTGAATACGTCTTTTACTTTCTGAATTAGCGTTGTTTGGAGGTCTTGGACGGACTTCATTGATTGTCTTTGGGCTACAGACACGGCATTAATGACGGCATCAATGGTGCCTTTTAACGATCTGTCTGCGTCGTTGACTTTCTCTCCAATGTAATTAATTTTCTCATCAAGTTGTTCCCTCAGATGCTTCATTTTCTCCTCAGCCTTTTGCTTTTTATCATTTATGACAACCTCATCACCTGTACCATTTTCATATTTTTTGAGAGTTTCAAGCTTAGCAAGAACACCCGATTGGAGCTTATCGACTTCAGTTTTGAGCTCTTGACCGGTTGTTCCTACTATGTTCCCAAGTAAATCGATGTTTGCTTTCACTTCCGCAAATTTGGTGGTTATCCTATTGCCGAGACTGGATTTATCTGAACCATTCATGTGCTTGCTAATCTCTTCGACCTGCTTAATGGCAGCGTCGATCTCCGCAGCGATGGAGGAGTTGGATTTATTTTTGTCAACAGTTATTTTTTTGACGAACCATTCAAGTTCTGCGGCAGCTCTCTGGGCCTTTGCGGCTACTCCGCTGACGATGTTTTTTACGGCAGAATTGAGAAGCTGTTTGTCATGGGTTCCCCTAGCTGAACCTTGAACCAGTAAAGTGTTATCCCTCTCATACTCTTGTTCAATCTCTGTAACTATATTAGAAATTTTGAATTTGGAAGATTTTATGTGAGCTTCAAGTTGACTAGCAAATGAGTCAATAGAATCCTTTATCTTTGTTAGATTCGTAGAGACGTCGGCATCGTCAAGCTTCTCAACTTTCTTATCATGGATCTCAACAATACTGTTAATATGCGGATCTACAACCTTTCTAATATGCTTAATAACGCTTTCTTCAGCTTCGGTGCCCGATTTCTGAAAATATTTTCCCTTGTTAATTTCAACATAGCCATCGATTGACGAATATATAGTCCCTCCTTTTTTTAAAACCTCTTTGGTCCACTCCTCCACTTTAAATTTAAACTGTCCTTTTTTAAACTCCCCAGCATACTCCCTCACCGCGTTCTCAATATCACCAAGATGACCCTCCTTTTTCGATTTGTCTGACTTATAGATTTTTTTCAAATGCAACTCAATACATCCTTTCAGCATATGCCAATTGTGCTCTATACCATCACCATTAGTTTTATTACCAACTCCCCTTTGAATCTCCCTAAAATGATCCTGAACATATTGTACCATACTACCAAGCACAATCTTGTTTTCTTGTAGTTCTCTGTGAACGTTTTCGACCTGCATTTGTATCGCGTTAAAAGGTTAGATATTTCAATTTTATACTCATTGTTAAACTTATCACGCATAAACGTCTGCGCTTGCTCCACAGCACGCTTCAAGTAAACAAATCCTCTCCTTTCTTCGCATTCAGCCTATCAATGTGGCTTATAACATTATTAAACTCGTCCGCCAATGTTTTTTGAAGCTGCTTGGATGTGAAATCAATCTCTCTTTCAATATTCTTTCCCTGTTCCACTAACTGCTCATCCATATATTGCACCCTCTCCATGAGCCCCTTAGTCTCAGCACTATGCTTCAACACATTTATTCCAGTTTCAATTCTACCTAAAGCTATGTCTAATCTACTTTTCAAGCCTTTATCTAATGCGTTGTAACCAATTGAATTCTCCCGAAGTGTTTTCATATTGCCATCAAGATCGTTCAGAGACCATCGAAATGCCTCGTGCATTGCCTTAAGGCCATTGCTTTTTGCAAGTTCAATCTTTTGAATATCCCTGTCAGCAATATTATCACGGATATTTTTCAACGCATTTTTTACCGCCTCAGTCTTCTCCTCCACTTCCTCATTATATTTCTCCAACCACCCCTTCACACTGCCGACAGAGTCCGAAAGGCCAACACGCCCAGTGCCAATTAAAGAAGTAAGAAGTTGAAGAACTTTATCTAAACCATCATTAATATTTGATGATTTAATGTAATTATTGTATTGTGTAACGTTATCATCCTCCTTCACACTCTCAAGAACTCCATGAAGGAAAGACATCACCCCGTCGCAGAGCCTGTCGAGGTCCGAGTACACAATTCCTTCACCGGTGTAATTACCATTCTCGTAGCCGAGAAATTTTTCGAGGCCTCCGCAGAGGTTACTTAATAATATTGTTGAAGGATTATTTTAGGCACACTTTTGGAGAATTTTAGAATTTTTTGAGAAAGGCGATTTTAGGTCAAGGAGGCAGCGAGGGAGGTGGGTGGACAGGGTGAGGGAAGTGGAGGGGCGAAAAAGGGCAATGAAGGAGGAAGAAGGGTGGAGGTAAGGCGGTTTGGGAGGTGGAGGGGGAAGGTGGAAAATGAGGATTTGGGCGAAGGACGCCGACGGAGGAGGTGAGGGAGGGGGTGATGGAGAGGGAGCGAAGCGACCAGTGAAAGGGAGGTGGGTGAGTGAGTGAGTGGGTGGGTGAGTGAGTGAGTGGGTGGGTGAGTGAGTGATTAGGTGAGTGAGAGGGTGAGTGGGTGGGTGATTGGTTGAGTGGGTGGGTGAGTAGGTGAGTGGTTAGGTGGGTGAGTGGTTGAGTGGGTGGGTGAGTGAGTGGATGAGTGAGTGGGTGGGTGAGTGAGTGGATGAGTGAGTGGTTGGGTGGTTGAGTGGGTGAGTGGTTGGGTGGTTGAGTGGGTGGTTGAGTGAGTGGTTGAGTGAGTGGTTGAGTGGGTGAGTGAGTGTGTGAGTGGTTGAGTGAGTGAGTGAGTGGGTGGGTGGTTGAGTGAGTGGGTGGGTGAGTGGGTGAGTGGGTGAGTGAGTGGTTGAGTGGGTGGGTGAGTGGGGTGATTAGGTGGTTGAGTGAGTGATACACAGATCACACGTGAAGGCACGATTATGGTGAGAAGTACTTGACGTTGGCGAGCGCCCTGACGCGTGCGGCGGCGAGGAGGGACTGCGCGGCGATGCGGTGCGACGAGGGCGAGCGCAGGTGGGAGCGTATCCTCAGGACGTCGAGGCGGACGACGGCGATGTGCAGCAGGTACAGGAGCGACAGCGACCAGAGGGCTAATAAGAGGAAAGTGAAGAAGTTGAGAAATGTTGAAGGATTATTTTAGGCACATTTTCAGGGCGATTTGGAAGAATTTGGAGAAAGGCGATTTTAGGTCAAGGAGGCAGCGAGGAGTGAGGGAGGTGGGTGGACAGGGCGGGGGAGGTGAAGGGGCGAAAGAGGGTGATGAAGGGGGAAGATGGGATAAGGTAAGGCGATTTAGGGGGTGGAGGGGAAAGGTGTAAAATGAGGATTTGGGCGAAGGACGCCGACGGAGGAGGTGATGGAGGGGTGAAAGCAGGGAGCGAAGCGACCAGTGAAGGAGGGGGTGAGTGAGTATGTGAGAGAGTGGGTGGTTGAGTGGGTGAGTGGGTGAGTGGTTGAGTGGGTGAGTGAGTATGTGAGTGGGTGGTTGAGTGGTTGGGTGGTTGAGTGGTTGAGTGAGTGAGTAGGTGAGTGGGTGAGTGAGTATGTGAGAGAGTGGGTGGTTGAGTGGGTGAGTGGGTGAGTGGTTGAGTGGGTGAGTGAGTTGGTGAGTGGGTGGGAGAGTGGTTGGGTGGGTGGTTGAGTGAGTATGTGGGTGAGTGGGTGGGTGGGTGAGTGAGTGAGTATGTGAGTGGTTGAGTGGGTGAGTGGGTGGGTGGTTGAGTGGTTGAGTATGTGAGTGAGTGAGTATGTGAGTGAGTGGGTGAGTGGGTGAGTGAGTGATACACAGATCACACGTGAAGGCACGATTATGGTGAGAAGTACTTGACGTTGGCGAGTGCCTTGACGCGTGCGGCGGCGAGGAGGGACTGCGCGGCGATGCGGTGGCTTGAGGGTGATCTCAGGTGGGAGCGTATCCTCAGGACGTCGAGGCGGACTACGGCGATGTGCAGCAGGTAGAGCAAAGAGAGGGACCAGAGGGTGAGGAGAGTGATGGAGAATTTCTCTCTTATGGCCCACAAGAATTTAGGTATGTATTCGTGTACCAATCGAGCGATGAGAGAGCTGTCTGAACATACTGTTTCTAATGCCTGACAGAAATCTTCACATGTACGTTGTCTCTCGCTGCCGTTTTCACCGGATAGTTGATAGCGGCTGCCGAATGTGAAGCCATATGCATACAGCGTTGGATGGGTGGCGGGGCAATTCATAATGGTTTTGCAGTCATTGGTGTGCTTGTCTCCGTTCGCTGGAGAGATAGACTTTCCATTTTCATTGGTTGTGTATTTAACTATACATGTTTTGTCACATTTCTTACCACGGCAGTTGATACCTGGTTTATTGCAATTATTGCAACATTCTTCGCATAGCTGTTTGAGCAGATCATAGAACGTCTCCGTTATATATACAACCCAAGACAGATAATTGCCGGCGTGCTCCTTGGAATAATGCAACCTGATGTCTTCGCTGATTGACCCTAAATACGGTCCACAGGGTAGACACGTGGTGCTTTTAGGATTGCATCCCAGAAGGCCAAACAGATCACCCTTACTATGTTGTTCAGAATGATTCTTGCTGCCTTGTATGGATAGAACATGCAGCTTTGTTTCGTTGTTCCCAAAGTTGGCGTCGATCACGGCTTTATCAAATGCCGTTATTTTATGTTCCTTTCCTGAGCCACTATAATTCTGAAGGTATGTATGGTAGAACGCTAAAATGTCACCCAGGGTTTGAGGTGCGCGTCGAAGCAGGCAGCTAAGCATACTACAAATCCTGGTGAGGGGAGACTCAGGCCTGCCGCAGAGACGGTAAAGTGCGCTAAAAAAATGCTTGCCGGTTCGCGTACGCGAAGCAGCAATACCAATGTCAGCAAAACCCATGGGAGTGAGGCATGGTTTACCAAAGTGATTACCAAGGGAACACTTCACTCCGCATCCAACTTTAGTGAGTCGATGAGGCAAGTAGCCTACTAAGCCGTCCTCCAGGAAGGACTGAAGTGGTGATTTGACACCGCAGCTAGGATGTTGGTCACAGCGTTGCTTAGTGTTTTGGGTAGCTGTTTGGTTGCCCTTTTGGGTAGCGCTTAGGTTGCAGTCTAGGTTAGCACATTGCTTCTCATTGCAGGACCACGATGAGCCACCGATGTACCTGCCGTAATGGCACTCTTCCCATCCGCCCCGACTACGGCCATTCTGACACTGAGCATATAAGAAACGGAGTTGATGGTAAATTCTGTTCAATACATCTACAAGTGTATCAAAGCACTGTGCTGGACTACTAGGATACGATAAATTATCTGTGTTTGTATTGAACTCGACAGCGTACCGGCCATCGGGATGGCCGTGGCCTAGTATGGCTTTAAGTGTGCTTCTGGATCTCGAGCAAACTTTGCCAAGTGCATCGGCCAGCTCGTCATACTTAATTTCGGTGGTGGCAGGTAGTTTAAGGTCGGAGGATTTTATTCTGGAATAATCGGGATCATTTGTATGCCCATCACGCTTAGGGAACAATGTCTTAATGTGGTTCTTAACTCCGTCGTACACGTGATTGTACTTAAGTCCGGTGACCCATTGGAGCATCTCGTATACTGTGGTCGGTGGCCGTGTCCTCTGAGGGATGTAGTGACACACCTTGTAATAGTTGACAAGGTGTTCGATAAGGTAATCAACAATGTCGATGATGTTGATACTCACAGCGCCCGAGGGCTTCACTTTCTGCTTCGCATTCTGTTCTTCCTTCCATTTCATGAGGCCTGGAATGCTCTTCGCGCCGGTTATTTCTTGCGTAATCCTAGTATGTATATGTGAACCCTGCATCTGATCAGATCTCTGCAGTTCACCGTCCTGCTTGTCCTTGTCGGTCGCCACATTGAAGCCTCGGGCTGCGAAGGCTGTTCCTAGGGCATTTTTAATTTGTTCCGGTTGTGCTCCACTTTTACCCGCAGGGGCGCCAGGTTTATTAATTAAACCGGAATGAATTTGCGTAGTCTTATTGTTATTACCTTCTCTACTTAAATCGCCCAAATGTTTTTGTACCCCGTCCATAATAGTAACCAGAACTTTAGCGCATTTCATCGCTTTTTCCGACGGCACTGTTTCTTGAGGTTTTGTATCATCAACGCTTTGTGTCCACTCAAAGCGTTCCGCGGCTCCCGAGTACCTGCTGACGTACTGCTTGCGTAGCTCCTGCGCGAATTTCTCAAGGCCCTGCTTCAGGGGCTTAAGCACGCTTTTGGGGGCGTCGGGGAACGTGTCGGCGGGGAATTGTTGGAGCGCGTCTTCGAAGGCCTGCCGCGCCGTGGAGACGGCGTGGTGGAAGTGCTGGTGGTGGAGCAGTTTGTCGAAGACGTTATCCAGGGAGGCGTGGAGTGTCTTGATTTGGGGAGCTTGGTCGGTGATGTCGGATTGAGATTGTAAATAGTGGCATAAATCTTCGAAGTATTTTTTGATTTCGACGGCTAAGGGACGCATTGTTTTATGGTCAAATGTTATGGATCGCAGTGAAATTTTCACGAGACGTAAGAGGCCTTTTGGGCCGGTGATTCTGTCGCGGGAGATGATGGATTTTATTTCGGCGAGCTGGGCGGAAACGAGGGATTTTAGGGCGGTCAAATGGGCTATCGTTTGGTCAGCAAACATGTCTTGAACCTGATTTGTTAGGATGTTGAATACGTCTTTTACTTTCTGAATTAGCGTTGTTTGGAGGTCTTGGACGGACTTCATTGATTGTCTTTGGGCTACAGACACGGCATTAATGACGGCATCAATGGTGCCTTTTAACGATCTGTCTGCGTCGTTGACTTTCTCTCCAATGTAATTAATTTTCTCATCAAGTTGTTCCCTCAGATGCTTCATTTTCTCCTCAGCCTTTTGCTTTTTATCATTTATGACAACCTCATCACCTGTACCATTTTCATATTTTTTGAGAGTTTCAAGCTTAGCAAGAACACCCGATTGGAGCTTATCGACTTCAGTTTTGAGCTCTTGACCGGTTGTTCCTACTATGTTCCCAAGTAAATCGATGTTTGCTTTCACTTCCGCAAATTTGGTGGTTATCCTATTGCCGAGACTGGATTTATCTGAACCATTCATGTGCTTGCTAATCTCTTCGACCTGCTTAATGGCAGCGTCGATCTCCGCAGCGATGGAGGAGTTGGATTTATTTTTGTCAACAGTTATTTTTTTGACGAACCATTCAAGTTCTGCGGCAGCTCTCTGGGCCTTTGCGGCTACTCCGCTGACGATGTTTTTTACGGCAGAATTGAGAAGCTGTTTGTCATGGGTTCCCCTAGCTGAACCTTGAACCAGTAAAGTGTTATCCCTCTCATACTCTTGTTCAATCTCTGTAACTATATTAGAAATTTTGAATTTGGAAGATTTTATGTGAGCTTCAAGTTGACTAGCAAATGAGTCAATAGAATCCTTTATCTTTGTTAGATTCGTAGAGACGTCGGCATCGTCAAGCTTCTCAACTTTCTTATCATGGATCTCAACAATACTGTTAATATGCGGATCTACAACCTTTCTAATATGCTTAATAACGCTTTCTTCAGCTTCGGTGCCCGATTTCTGAAAATATTTTCCCTTGTTAATTTCAACATAGCCATCGATTGACGAATATATAGTCCCTCCTTTTTTTAAAACCTCTTTGGTCCACTCCTCCACTTTAAATTTAAACTGTCCTTTTTTAAACTCCCCAGCATACTCCCTCACCGCGTTCTCAATATCACCAAGATGACCCTCCTTTTTCGATTTGTCTGACTTATAGATTTTTTTCAAATGCAACTCAATACATCCTTTCAGCATATGCCAATTGTGCTCTATACCATCACCATTAGTTTTATTACCAACTCCCCTTTGAATCTCCCTAAAATGATCCTGAACATATTGTACCATACTACCAAGCACAATCTTGTTTTCTTGTAGTTCTCTGTGAACGTTTTCGACCTGCATTTGTATCGCGTTAAAAAGGTTAGATATTTCAATTTTATACTCATTGTTAAACTTATCACGCATAAACGTCTGCGCTTGCTCCACAGCACGCTTCAAGTAAACAAATCCCTCTCCTTTCTTCGCATTCAGCCTATCAATGTGGCTTATAACATTATTAAACTCGTCCGCCAATGTTTTTTGAAGCTGCTTGGATGTGAAATCAATCTCTCTTTCAATATTCTTTCCCTGTTCCACTAACTGCTCATCCATATATTGCACCCTCTCCATGAGCCCCTTAGTCTCAGCACTATGCTTCAACACATTTATTCCAGTTTCAATTCTACCTAAAGCTATGTCTAATCTACTTTTCAAGCCTTTATCTAATGCGTTGTAACCAATTGAATTCTCCCGAAGTGTTTTCATATTGCCATCAAGATCGTTCAGAGACCATCGAAATGCCTCGTGCATTGCCTTAAGGCCATTGCTTTTTGCAAGTTCAATCTTTTGAATATCCCTGTCAGCAATATTATCACGGATATTTTTCAACGCATTTTTTACCGCCTCAGTCTTCTCCTCCACTTCCTCATTATATTTCTCCAACCACCCCTTCACACTGCCGACAGAGTCCGAAAGGCCAACACGCCCAGTGCCAATTAAAGAAGTAAGAAGTTGAAGAACTTTATCTAAACCATCATTAATATTTGATGATTTAATGTAATTATTGTATTGTGTAACGTTATCATCCTCCTTCACACTCTCAAGAACTCCATGAAGGAAAGACATCACCCCGTCGCAGAGCCTGTCGAGGTCCGAGTACACAATTCCTTCACCGGTGTAATTACCATTCTCGTAGCCGAGAAATTTTTCGAGGCCTGTGCAGAGGCTTTCTAAAAGATTTTTAGAAGGATTTTGGTCAACAAGATTTTTTTGAATTTTATCAGCATATCCACAAAGCTCTTTCAGTGTCTCAAGAGACCTCTTGGAAGCATTATGAGACTGAAGATCCTTATTAAACTTGACAATTTCAGAGGCATTTTGAGGAGATTGATAGGCAAATGTAAGCATTAAAAAGGGTATTATTAAGGACATTTTAAGGGCGATTTGGGGGAGTTTGGAGAAAGGCGATTTTAGGTCAAGGAGGCAGCGAGGGAGGTGGGTGGACAAGGTGAGGGGAGTGAAGGGGCGAAAGAGGGCGATGGAGGGGGAAGATGGCTGGAGGAAAGGCGATTTAGGAGGTGGAGGGAGAAAGTGGAAAATGAGGGTTTGGGTGGAGGACGCCGACGGAGGAGGTGATGGAGGGGGTGGAGGCAGGGAGCGAAGCGACCAGTGAAGGAGGGAGGTGAGTGGTTGAGTGGTTGAGTGTTTGAGTGAGTGAGTGAGTGAGTGGTTGAGTGGTTGAGTGAGTGGGTGGGTGGTTGAGTGGTTGAGTATGTGAGTGAGTGGGTGGTTGAGTGAGTGGGTGAGTGGGTGGTTGAGTGTGTGAGTGTGTGAGTGGTTGAGTGGTTGAGTGGTTGAGTGGGTGGGTGAGTGGTTGGTTGAGTGAGTGGGTGAGTGATTAGGTGGGTGGTTGAGTGGGTGGGTGAGTGGTTGGTTGAGTGAGTGGTTGAGTGAGTGGGTGAGTGGTTGAGTGGGTGGGTGGGTGAGTGATACACAGATCACACGTGAAGGCACGATTATGGTGAGAAGTACTTGACGTTGGCGAGTGCCTTGACGCGTGCGGCGGCGAGCAGCGACTGCGCGGCGATGCGGTGGCTTGCGGGTGATCTCAGGTGGGAGCGAATCCTCAGGACGTCGAGGCGGACGACGGCGATGTGCGCCAGGTACAGGAGCGACAGCGACCAGAGGGCTACTAATGTCCAGATGAATAATGAACGTATGGTGTATATGAATGTATCAATATCGTGGATAAATTTAATGAGTACTGAATCTTTACCAAGTATTCTTTCTAATGCACTGCAGAAATCTCCGCACGTTCTCTTCTTCTCTAACCCATCATCGCCGTTGAGGTGTCTTTGGTACCAAAACACGAATCCATATTTTGACAATGTCGGTAGTGTAGACTTGCACGTCACAATAGATTGGCATCTTGAGTCATGGATTCGGGGTGATTTTTGCGATGATGATTTCTTTGAACAGTCTTTAACACAGCATTTGGCAACACAGTTAGAACCTTTGTTACCGCATTTAGCATCGCAGTCATCGTATAGTTTCTTGAGTAAATCATAAAATGTTTCAGTAAGGTAAACGATCCAGGAGAGATATTTGTCGGCGTGTTTCTTAGAATAAACACCGCTGACATCTATACCGAGCGGCTTAAGGTACCGACCGCAGTTTGATGCGTTGCCACCGTCGCAGCTTACTATACTGGACAAGTCGCCGTCACTATGAGTGACCAGATGCTTACTTCTGTTTAAAATGACAGTTGGATCTAACTCCTTGTACCCTTGTCCAAAATTTGCATTCTGCAGTGCAGTTGTAAAGGCAGTATACCTATGATCTCTACCATCACCTCCCCAGTGATGCATGAAACCATAGTAAAACGCGAACATCTCGTTTAGTGTTTGAGGTGTCCGAGGTGATAGACATCGGATATACAAGCACACTTTTCGGAGAGGTGAATTTAGATTACCACAGAATTTCTCGAGGACTTCCCTGAGATAATCACCATTCTTTGTATGCGATGCTTTAACGCTTATCTCTGAGAAACCCATGGGTGTCTTACATGGAATGCCATTATGATTTGCCATGGTACACTTAACTCCACAACCAACAGTAGAAATGGAATGCGGCAAAAAGCCTTGTAAACCGTCCTCTAGGAACGATTGTAAAGGCGATTTGACGCCGCACTTGGGGTGTTGCTCACATATTTGGTTAGGTGATAGGTTAGCACTTAGGTTACCGCTTTGGTCAGCGTTTTGGTTAGTTCTTAGGTTACACTCTTGGTTAGGGCATAGGTTGTCATTGCGTTTCCATCCAGAGCCGCCGACATCTCTGCCGTAATAACAGTCGCGCCAACTGCTGTAGGTAGACTCAAAATAGAATTGCTCGCACAGGAAGGAGAATTGATGGTGGACTCTATTCACAATTTCTACAAACATATCAAAACATTGACTGGAGTTGCTAGGGTACGACAAACCGTCGGCGTTTGTGTTGAAGTCGACGGCATATACTCCATCCTCGTGACCATGGCCTAGGATGGAGGTGAGGATTATTTCGGCATGGTTGCAAACATCGAGAAGTGCGAACTGAACATCGAGTGCTGTAAAAGTCGACGTGGCATCTACTTCATATTTCCAGGCATGGCTAGGTTGTGTGACATCGCCGGGGGGTTTTATCAACGTAGTAACGTAGTCCCTGAGCTGGCTGTACATTGCGTTATACCGCATACCGCATAACCAGCGTAACATATGATATACACTAGACGGCGCTTTGGGCTTCTCGGTATGCTTGCGGTGGCAGACTTCATAATATGTAGAAACATATACATGTAAATTCACCAAATTACCGGGATCGGAGTTATCTGGCTTGAAGATCTGTTGGGTATTTTCGAGAAGATCAAAAATCTTCTGACCATTACAGTCCGGTTTATTGCGCAATTCACCGTCGTAGCTAATGTCATCATAATCGACACGATACCCGCAACCCTTGAGAAAGACCCCTAGGGGATTTTTACCTTTGCCAAGATTTTCGTAAATTTGCTTTTTATTCCACACAGCCTTATCTTTGCACTCCCTTCTCAGGGTGCGAAGGTCCCCGTAAAGAGTTTGTACTAAGGTGAAGAATACTTTTGCACAGTTCCTGCCGTCATCGGTTAACTCAGATTTCGGAGCGCCGGGAGAACCGACAGCCGGCTCGTCTGCTTGAACAGAACTCTGAGGTTCAAACCATTCTTTGATTGGATCAGCGCCGTCATAGGCGTTTATATATACTCTCTGCAACTGGGCAATCATGTCTTTCAAACCGGTGCATAACGCGTCCAGTAACACACCGTTTTGTTGGCCTTCGAAGAGCTTAGGTGTAATGGCAGCAAGCCTAGTTTTTAATGTTTCTAAGTTCTTACTAAAAGTGTCATCAAAATGTTTTGATGTGCACAGTTGTTCGAATAATGTCTGCATGAAGAAGTAAAGTGATTTTAGCCGGCTGCGAATATCATTCTTCACCGGTAATTGATGTTTCACATAACCCAAGAGACCGGTGACAACAACGCTGCAACCAGTGGATAATACGGTAATATCACCATGTTGATTAAGCCTGCCAACGATACCTTTCAGCTTCCGTAAGAGGCCTTTGGGACCGCTCGCCGAGTCATCATTTATGGTTTTGTTAATCTGCTCGATTTGTTTTTCCACCTGCCTTTTCATTCCATTGAACATGGGATCGACCTTATTTAGATATTCATACCTGGCTTTCTTCTGCATCTCTCGGGTGGTGTCTGCGACTGCTGTTTGGACGAAGAACTGGATGTCGGCAATGGCCGCGGCGCTTTGTTCATTTGTGAGCTTAATGATGTTATTTGCCTGCTCAGCGAGGGGGGCCAATCTGTCTTTCCTCATAATCTCTATCAGTTCCTTCATTTGTTTTAGTTGTGTTTCTATGTTGTCCTTTTTCAGATTATTCAGGAGTCGATGGATAATGCTTCCTGCTTGCGAAAACGCTTTAAAAAGGTCTGTGAGGTTCTGAGTAATTTCTTCGGACCATGTTTTGAGGGTTTCCTTTGTGGCTTTGACGTCATATCCAGAGGCGTCTGTCTCAATTTTTTTGATCGCCTGTGGAAGAGAGCCTTCGTTTGCCTCTGGAGTACCGGTTGGTGGAGTGGATAAAGAAGCATTTAGTTTGACGTATTCATGATAACCGGTGAATTTATCTGAAAGTGTGACTTTAGATGGTGGAACACCTTGCCGACCAGCAGGCGGATCATACTGACCGATCTCCGCAGTCAGCATTTTGTCAACGACTTCATCAACTTTGGGCTTTTTGAAAGCAATATCCAGCTGACTAATAGCGGGCTGAACGGCTTTTAATGCGTCATCTATCTTAAACCCGGAATCTTGCCATGAGTTATCATTCACGTTATTCTCGCCATCAAATTGCTCTTTGATCTTGTGGACTCTGTTTATAGCCGTCTCCACGTTACCAATATTCGCCTCATTGCCACCGCTGCGAACCAACCATGCAAGTTTGTAGGCGGCTGTTCTGGCCCTAGCTGAAAGTTCGCTGACGATATTTTTTACGGCGGAATGTAGAGGGCCGGTGTCATGTCTTCCTCTACCTCCGCTTTGAGACGTCAACAGCCCATCACTCTCATACTTTGCAACAATTTCCGAAACAATCTTAGGGCTTTTTAAATCATCATTTTGTGAGTTACCTGTAAGCTCTTCTGCGAAAGAAGCAAGCGACTTGTGGATAGATTTTAATTTTGCCTCAACGGTGCCCTGCGATGACCCTATTGCAGGGACCTTTTTAACAATGACTTTAAGCTTTGGTTCTATATTTTCCTTAATGTATCTCATAATCGTATCTTTTAACCCACCTTGACCCTGTGTCTGAAAGTAATTAGAACGCTGGTTAATATCGACATATAGATCAACATACCCGGTCACCGGTTCCTTCCCCAGAATATCAGCCATCCACTGCTGCACTATATTGTCAAATCCACATTCACCGTTAGATTGTATTTTGAATTTTGCAACATACTCGTTTAGTTGTTCCACAATCTGCCTTAGGCCTTTTCCTTTATCCGTGAGCAAACCAACAAGCCTCGTAATTGTAGTTTTAAGCACCCCCCAATTCGTGTTTAGTTCACCACTTTTCCCCGTTTCATTAACAATCTGTGATTTAATCATCGCAAAAGTAGGCACTATCGTCTGATCAACGTGATCCCAAATCGCCCCCTTTATCCCCTCCCTCACCTTAAACAAATTCTCTTTCACTTTAGTGTCCATCGTTTTCACTGCCTGGAGCGCCATTGTCACATTCTCCCCTATTTGGTTTTTCATCTTCTCAACATAACTGTTAACATTTTCTCCCCAGTCCTTCAACGCCGTCGCAATGCGATTGATTTTATCTCGATTTTGCCAACCAGGCTCTTCATCAATAATCCTCTCAACATCATTTTGCATTATGTCATTTATAACTATTACTGCCTCCTTAATCCACTCCTCCAAGCTGTCGACATATCCCTTTAATTCTTCACTAACTTCATGAATTTTTTTCCGAAGCTCCAAAATTGCATCATTTATGGCATTCCTCATCTGCTCCACACGGTTCCTCACTTTACTGGTTACGTTATCTCTCAACGCCTCCAGCTGATACTCCGCCATCTCGACAAGCTGCCACAGCTCGCCATTGCTGGCTGATGCTACGAACGTCCTAACATGTAATTCTAATTTATGCATATTATCTAAGAGTTTGTTCTTAAGTGAACTATCAAGTTTGTCATATTCGGTATGTGCCTCGCAGAAAGCTTCCTCCAGCTCTCCTGCTCTGAGGATGCATTTCAGCAACCCGTCAGTCACCTTATCAGGTGGACAGCTATCAAGTGTACTAAGTGCAGTAGACATATTAGTGAGTTTGTCATCTTTAAGTGTACTAAGTGCCACTTGAAATGCTTTCTTCCGCCCTTCGAGCTCACCGCTCCACGCCCGCAGCGCATTGGAGACATGTGCGATGGCTTCCTGAAACTTATTAGAACCATTATGCATAAACTCACCGATTTTAGAAGGAAGATTCTTGATTTTATTTGTATCATGAATATCATAAGTTGTAACGGAATCATCCTCCTTCACACTCTCAAGAACACCATGAAGGAAAGACATCACCCCGTCGCACAGCCTGTCAAGGTCGGAGTACACGATGCCAGTGCCGGTGTAATTACCATCATGGTAGCCGAGAATCTTTTCGAGGCCGGAACAGAGGTTATTTAAAATATCTTTTGGATCTTTACTTTCATTATTTTTAAAATCCTTACAATGTTCACAAAGCCCTTGTAGACTTTTGAGAGACGTCAAAGACTTCTGATGATATTCAAGAGATTTAGAATCTTTTTCAGTGAAAGACTCTTTTGCAATTTTAAGAGCCTTTTCAGCTTTATCAAGCTTATTTTTAAGATGTTCATTATTTTTCTGCTCCTCAATTTTCTTTTTAAGGTCATTCACTTGAAACTGAAGGCTATCAACTGAATATTTCTTGAGTTGAAGTTCAGAAATTTTACTTTGAACAGCGGAAATTACAGTTGTAATTTGCTTTGTAAGCTGAGAACTTTGTGAGAAAATTTCTTTTTTAAGCTCTTCAAGTTTCTTCTTATGCTCCTCAATCTCAGACTCACTGCCGGGCGGCGCCTTTCCAGGCGCCTTACTTTTTTCATCTTTTTGCTTTTTAAGGCTATTAATTTTTGTTGCAATTTTATCAACGTCATTTATTTGCTTTTGAAGATTTTTAAGATCTCCATCACGGAAATTCTTATCATAACAATTACACCCCTCACCTCCACAAGATGTTTCCAAAAGCTTTTCAAGCTGAGTTACATTGCTGTGCAAACCATACAAAATTGCTTTCTGGACTTCATCTCCGCCGCCAATAAAACCCGAAAGCTGCCCGGCAAGCGTGCCAAGAGAGATACGCCGGGCATCGATATCATCCAAGGCTATCTGTCTGGCAACGTCAGTAAGGTAATGAACATCATTGTAATGGTCATTGTAGTGGGATTAAAGGTGGATTGAGGGGGAGTTGAAAGAAGTAAAGGAGGATCATTAGGCACATTTTCAGGGCGATTTGGGGGAGTTTGGGGAAAGGCGATTTTAGGTCAAGGAGGCAGCGAGGGGGTGAGGGAGGTGGGTGGAAAAGGCGGGGGAGGTGAAGGGGCGAAAGAGGGCGATGGAGGGGGAAGATGGGTTGAGGTAAGGCGGTTTTGGAGGTGGAGGGAGAAAGGTGGAAAATGAGGATTTGGGGGAAGGACGCCGACGGAGGAGGTGAGGGAGGAGGGAGGAGGGAGCGGAGCGACCAGTGAAGGAGGTGGTTGAGTGAGTGGGTGGGTGGTTGAGTGGGTGAGTGAGTGGGTGATTAGGTGAGTGGTTGAGTGGGTGGTTGAGTGAGTGGTTGAGTATGTGGGTGAGTGAGTGGTTGAGTGGGTGGGTGGTTGAGTGAGTGAGTTGGTGAGTGGGTGGGTGAGTATGTGAGTGGGTGAGTGATTAGGTGGTTGTGTGAGTGGGTGAGTGGTTGAGTGGTTGAGTGGTTGAGTGGTTGAGTGAGTGAGTGAGTTGGTGAGTGGGTGGGTGAGTGAGTGATTAGGTGGTTGAGTGAGTGGGTGAGTGGGTGGTTGAGTGGTTGAGTGAGTGGGTGAGTGGGTGGTTGAGTGGTTGAGTGGTTGAGTGGTTGAGTGAGTGAGTGATTAGGTGAGTGATACACATATCACACGTGAAGGCACGATTATGGCGAGAAGTACTTGACGTTGGCGAGTGCCTTGACGCGTGCGGCGGCGAGCAGCGACTGCGCGGCGATGCGGTGGCTTGCGGGTGATCTCAGGTGGGAGCGTATCCTCAGCACGTCGAGGCGGACGACGGCGATGTGCAGCAGGTACAGGAGCGACAGCGACCAGAGGGATAATAATAATGACATGAATGGATGTCTGATAGTGCACAGGAAATTGTCGCACTCATTGAAGAGGTCAGTGAAATACTGTGAGCATATTACCTTCTTCAAATGATGTGCAAATCTGAAACATGTTGTTCGAGTGCCAACAGCGTTTAACGTTGATGCGTCACCAAATGTGAAACCAAAGCTGTATAGTGTAGGAGACACTCCCTTACAATTGACCATGGAACTACATTTGCAATTTGGCATTTGGGTCTCTTTGTCGCTGAGGCCGTGCGCTCCTAGTTTACACGTGTCAGCATTCAGACATTTACGACAGCCCCAATCAAGGCATGAGATTGTATTGAATGCGTCGAGGAGGCATTGCAGATATTCGCAAAGTTTCCACGGCAAGTAGAGCGCCCATGAAAGGTATGCTCGACAGTGAGTGTTCGCCATATAGTGGTAGTAATCGGAATATAAGGTAGCTAAGTATGGTGCGCTATGAACTCTTTGTTTGCAGCACGTCTCAGATGTGGTAAGCGTATTCAGGTGCGGGTGATCGCAGTTGGATTTATCAGTAGAGTCTGAACCAAAAGCTTTAGTTAACGCATCGGTTATTTCCGATGTAGGTGTATATTGTGCAATGGACTGCTTAGTGATAGACTCTGCAAATGTATTCTGTAATAGAATCACGTCATCACTTCGTTTTGTTTTCCTAAAGTTAATACCCTTAACAAGTGACAACGCAAATCCAAAATGCTCTGGTAGCGTAGATGGCGGTTTTGGTGTAAGGCAGAAAATGGCTGTAACAAAGACGTCGTCGAAGAATTTGACGATCAACTCACACAGTTCTCTGCCGGTTTTGGTGGTCCCCGAGAAACCTCTGAAGCCAAGGGGAGTCAGACAGGGCATACCACACTTGCTTCTAGGACAAGCGGAACATACAGATTTGCAGCCAATGGAGGATAGTGCGTGAGGAAGTTGACCAACAAAAGAGTCGGTCAGGTAGGACTGCAGTGGAGATGTTGGTTGGCAATTTGGTTGACCATTTGGTTTGTTATTTGGTTGACTACTTGCTTTGTTATTTGGTTGGTCATTTGCTTGGCCGGTTGAATGATCGGTACATGGCCATCTATTTGACTTGATGTTTTTACCATAGAGGCAATCGCGCCAGCCATTGTGCTGAGTACTAAGTTGGCATTGACTATGTAAGAATCTAAGCACTGGGAATAATCGACGAAAGATATCAAGGAGCAAATCGAAGCATTGCGATGGATTTGCGGGGTATGAAAGATTGAGGGAATTGCTGGAGAACTGGCAGGCATAGTGGGTCTGGGCGTCTCCGTGGCCTAGGATACCCGTCAGCAGTGAGTAAGCGTGCGACACAACATGTTTCAGTGCATCATGTATATTGGTAAATGAAAACTGGTAGGGATACGCTTCAATGGGTTGGACGGTTTTCTTAGACGGATCCGACTTATCTGGCTGCTTAAACAGAGTCGTAACGTGATCCTTAAGTTTGTCATAAACACCGTTATACGTGAGACCGGTTAGCCATACTAACATTTCGAATACGCTACATGGATGTCTAGTGGACAAAAATGATGTTACGTGACCTACTTGATTATATGTTGTGAGATGATCGAAAAGGTTGTTAATCTCTCGAATGACATTGCGGCTACCAAATGCGTCTGCCGTCGTTGCAGTGAGACATCGATGGATGTTCTCACCGTTCCACTCATTCGCGCACTGCAACTCCGCGTCTTGCTTGGAGTCCTCGTCGTTGCTCGGCACTTTAAAACCGCATCTAGTAAGGAATAAGCCGAGCTTATTTTCCGTGCGATTCTGTACTGCGCATATTTTCCTGTCTTTCCAACCACCGTATCTCAATTCTGTATTACAATTCTCTCTTAAAATATTCAAATCGGTGTGGAGAGTCTTAAGAATTGTCAAGCATACCATAGACAATTTCTCACCGTTATCGGATAACACAGTTATATTATGAGATGTTTTTCACCATTTTCGTTGGTATTCGTAATTGTTTTTTTTGTCAACAATTTCTCAAAATCTATAGATGGATGCCCCTCATACCTGTTCACGTACCCCCTCTCCAGCTGCTCGACGAAGCGCACCAGGCTCTTGGGGAAAGCGTCGAGCACGGGGTACGCGGGGTTGGCGAAGTTTGTGGTGTGGAGCGCTTGGACGGACGTCTTGAGTTCCGCGAGCATTCCGGGTACCTTGTGGTCGAAGTGTTTTTTGGCGGACAGGTGGGAGAGGAGGGTGGTCAGAGCGGAGTGGATGGTGGAGAGTTGGGAGGGGTATTGGGAGTTGGGGAGGTGTTTGGGGAGGTCGGCGGAGACGTAAGTGTGGATGTGTTTCAGGTAGGCGAGGGATTTGGCGGAGAGGGATTGGAAATTGGCGGGGTGTGTTGCACCGGGAGTTATCTCCTTGAGTGGGTCAATATGGTGCTTCATAGTTTTCAATAAGCCTTTCACACCGCCATGTGAATCCTCGTGTATGGTACGCTTAATGCTGGTAATTGCAAAATGCACTCTAGTTTCCATGTCCGTGAACATTTTATTGATTCTAAAATGGTAGTCAGTTTTTGCTTCTTTTTGTATGTCGCCAGTCACTTTCGCAACTTCGTCAGAAACACACTGCTGTATCTCTTTAATGGCTCTAGCAGCTTCCGTTTTTATTATTTTGTCATAGAACTCACCGGCATTCTGCACTATGGTTTGTAGAGTGTTATCCCCGCTGCCAGTCAGGATCTTATTAAGACGCGTCTGTATTCCCGTCAGGGAATGTTTTTCCTCTCCATAGAGTTTGTCTTTAATTATATTACTCAGACGTTGCAACTTTTGCTTCACACCGCTATATCCGGAATCCTTCCCGGCAAGTTTCTCGATTCTTTTGCACAATTGTTCAAGGCTTTGGGTGACTATACTGTGTAACTCCTGGAGAGTTGAAGATTCGATCTTCATGCCACTACCCTTCTCGTCGGCCATAACAGTCTTGATTTTCTTCAGACCACTTCCGTTATTCTGTATTAAATCTAAAGGCTGAGTGACCTGAAGTTTCGCAGTGTCGTAAGTCGGCGTAAATCCATTGCCGTTTTTAAAATCTCCACTGCCATTACCATATTCAGTCCCAATAAGTCCCTCAGCCTGCGCCTTAAGTCTTTCTTTAAATGCGCCAGTACTGGGAACAACAGCTCTAGTAACGGCGTTCTCAAGCTTTTCTCCAAGTGTTTTAACACTCTCTATAGCCTGTGCCAGGTTACTTATCTTGGACGCTTCCAAGAAATTCTTTATTTCCTCTGATAATCCTTTTGCAGCCGTCGACACCCCAAATATAATAATTTCAAGGGCCGTTTGAAGATAATCGTTTTTGGTAGACCCGGAGGTTGCGACCATACCTGCGATCTGCTCGGCAATCTCTTCAAGCTTGGTCTTCCCACTAAGTTCACTTTTAATTTGCTTCCCAAAGCGTTTGGCAAAATCTTGCAAGCTACTACCAATCTGGCTAAACTCGGCAGTGGATGAAAGGCCAGCCTTTCCGGCACTCTCCTCAACTAGTTGCTTAATAATATCTGGGAGGTAGTGCAAAATGGCTGCTTTAATATCGTTCTCTTTTCCATTCAATAGACTGGAATTTCCTTTGTCAATGACATACTTCCCAACATACGTATCTACAGCCCCGCCTTTCTCATTCACCATGCTAGTTACCATTGTCTCAATCGCATCCTTGAGTTTATTTTCAAAACTCGACGCGTACCCCTGCAGGGCATTTTGAATATCATACAGTGTTCCAGACTTATTCTGCTGATGCGCAATCGTATCAGTAAGATCTTTGAGGTTACTCGTAATGCTCAGTCCCAACCGACTAATATGCTCTCCAACAGTCTGTTTTATTTTATCCCTTAGTTGCTTCAAATCACTCATTACCGCCGTTTTAAGTGCTGCATCCACTACACCTAAAGCACTCTGCACCCTTTCAGCAATATACCCGTGAGCCTCCTGCATTTCAGTGTACAATTTAACAGCATCCTCCTTTAACTTACCGGCTGCTGTGCTAATTCCACAAGGATTTGCTGCACTGGACATGACTTCATTAATAATATCATCAACCTGATTATGAATCATTTGAATAAACTTCTCCGCCGCCACAATCCACTTACCCAAATCAGCATGAACTGCAGTCAACTTCTCATTCACATCATCAATTGGCTTCCCAATCTGCCTTTCGAAGGCATCATTTATGTCCGATCCCAACTGGTTTGTGCGGTACTTCACTTTATCATTCACCGTTTTCTCTAGCAATTTTGCCCGCTCTTCGCTAAACACTAGCAACGCCTTCAGCTCAGTGTTCTGTGCCGCAGCCGCGAACTCCTTGACCTGCAAATTTATATAATCAAATGAATCTTTCAACTTATCTTTTAATGTTGGATCTAGATCCATATAATACGTTTTTGCCAACTTGAAGACGTCATGCAAATTTTTGGCTTCATTGAAGCACGTCTGCAACAGTGCAGGTACATTGCGAAGTGAATCACCATATACACTATTAAGTTTATTAAGTGAATCAGTAATATATTTAAAGTTGCTAGTTTGTAAGTCACTAAGCGCAGTTTTAAGCTTGTAGGTTCGCTCTTCGAGCTCACCGCTCCACGCCCGCAGCGCATTGGACACCTCTGTGATGGCTGTCTGAAAACCATTAGAACCATTATGCATAAACTTACCTAATTTTTCAGGGAGTGTAGAAATGTTATTTACTTTATCAACATCATACGTTGTAACGTTATCATCATCCTTTACTCCACTGAGAACACCATGAAGGAAAGACATCACCCCGTCGCAGAGCCTGTCAAGGTCCGAGTACACGATGCCTTCTCCGGTGTAATTACCATCATGGTAGCCGAGAAAATTTTCGAGGCCTGTGCAGAGGTTATTTAATAATGTTGCTGAAGGATTATTTTTATTATTGTCAACTTTCTCAGCATATCCACAAAGCTCTTTCAGTGTCTCAAGAGACTTCATGGAAGCATTATGATATTCAAGAGATTTAGACTCTTTTTCAGGGAACTCATTTTTTGCGTTTTTAAGTTGCTCTTCACGTTCATCAAGATCTTTTTTAAGCCTTTCAACATTATTTTTATTCCCCTCAATTTTCTTTTTAAGCTCATTCACTTGAGATTGAGCGTCAACAACTTTATTTTTCTTAGCATCAAGTGACTCAATTACAATTTTAACAGCATCAATTACAATTGTAATTTTGTCTTTAAGCGTGGAACTTTGTGAGAAAATTTTATTTTTAAGCTCTTCAATTTCCCTTGTAAGCCTCTCAATCTCAGGACCACTGTCAGACGGCGCCCTTTCAGGCGCCTCACTTTTTTCAGCAACATCTTTTTTAAGGCTATTAATTTGTGTTTGAAGAGCATCATATTGCTTACAATTTTGTTGAAGATCTGAAAGAGATTTCTGAAGATCATTAAGATTATTATCACAACACCCCTCACCTCCGCAAGACGCTTTCAAAAGCTTTTCAAGCTGAGTTACATTACTGTGCAAACCCTTCAAAATTGCATTTTTTACATCATCACTCCCACCAATTAAACCCATAAGTTGTCCAGCAAGCTTACCAAGAGAGATACGGCGGGCATCAATATCATCCAAGGCTCTTTGTCTGGCATCCTCAGAAAGATAATGAACGTCATTGTAGTGATCATTGTGGTTGGATTGAAAGTGGATTAAGGGAGGGTTAGAAGGAGTAAAGGGGGATTATTTTAGGCACATTTTTATTAAAGGCGAATTTGGGGAAGGACAGTGAGGCAGTGAGGGAGGTGGGTGGACAGGGTGAGGGAGGTGAAGGGGCGAAAGAGGGCGATGAAGGGGGAAGATGGGCTGAGGAGAGGCGGTTTTAGGGGTGGAGGGAGAGAGGTGGAAAGTGAGGATTTGGGTGAAGACGCCAACGGAGTGGGAAGAAAAGACAAAAGCAATAAAAAATGAGGTGAGCGAGTGAGTGGTTAGGTGGTTGGGTGAGTGGGTGGGTGATTAGGTGGGTGGTTGAGTGGTTGAGTGGGTGAGTGGTTGAGTGGTTGGGTGGTTGAGTGGGTGGGTGGTTGAGTGGTGGGTGGGTGGTTGATGTGGGTTAAGTGAGTGAGTTAGTAAGTGATGAGTGGTTAAATGGGTGGTGAGTGGTTGAAATGGTAAGTGAGTGAGTGGTTGGGTGGTTAAGTGAGTAAGTGAGTAAGTGGTTGAGTGAGTGGTTGAGTGAGTGGTTGAGTGGTTGAGTGATGGTTGAGATTGAGTGGTTGGTTGAGTGTGGTGTGGTTGAGTGGTTGAGTGGGTGGGTGAGTTGGTGAGTGGTTGAGTGGTTGAGTGGGTGGTTGAGTGGTTGAGTGGTTGAGTGTTGAGTGGGTGAGTGAGTGGTTGAGTGGGTGAGTGAGTGAGTGGTTGAGTGAGTGAGTGGTTGAGTGAGTGAGTTGGTGGGTGAGTGATACACAGATCACACGTGAAGGCACGATTATGGCGAGAAGTACTTGACGTTGGCGAGTGCCCTGACGCGTGCGGCGGCGAGTAGGGACTGCGCGGCGATGCGGTGGCTTGAGGGTGCTCTCAGGTGGGAGCGTATCCTCAGCACGTCGAGGCGGACGACGGCGATGTGCAGCAGGTACAGGAGCGACAGCGACCAGAGGGCTAATAGTGTATTCATGAACGGTGATCTGATAATGTACAGGAAATTGTCGCACTCTTTAAACAGCTTATCAAAATATGTTGATTTAAGTACATTTTGTAACTGCGTACAGAAGTCGGAGCATTTCTTTGGTTTGCCATTAGCGTTCAGCATTGATGGATTACCAAACATGAAACCATATATATACAAGGTTGGCATCACGCCTCTGCACTGAACCATGCTGTTACATTGGCAATGTGGCGCCTTTGTTTTTTCGTCGACAAGTCCATGTTGTCCTCGTCTACATTTATTACCGTTAAGGCATTTGCTACATCCCCAGTCCTGGCACAATAGTGCTTTGAGGGCGTCAAGCAGACATTCAAGGTATTTATGTAATGTCCATGGAAGATAAATAATCCAGGAGAGGTAGAGGTTGGAGTGCATTATTGCAAGATTGCTGTATGAATCGGAGCACAACGTATATACATAAGGGGCACAGTTTGCGTCTTGGCCGGAACACGGCGTAGTCATTGCAAGGCTTGACAATTTAGCAAGTCCGGTTAAATGGTCCATATCTTGATGATCATCCATACTGGTACCATAAGCTTTTTGAAGTGCATCAGTAAGGTCAGATGTATTTTTATATAAATCGATGGACTGTTCGGACATAGATGTATTGAACATGTTTGCAAGTGTCTTATTTTCATCACGTTTCGGCGCTAATGGCAACTTAATGCCACTAACCAACGACCTAACAAATGCGAAATGTTCGGGTAAGTTACTCGGCGGTTTGGCCGCAACGTAGAACAAGGCTGTGAGGTAGTCATTACCCAGGAATTTGCCCAGCACGTTACACAGCTCTTTACCTCTACGCGTACTACTAGAGAAACCTCTAAAGCCCATTGGAGTTATACACGGCATTCCAGGCATAGATTTGGGGCAAGTGTTACAGACTGTTTTGCAACCAATCGAGGTTACATCGTGAGGCAAGTGGCCGATTAGAGAATCGGTTAAGTAGCACTGAAGTGGCGACGTTGGTTGGCAGTTTGGTTGGTCATTTGGTTGGCTATTTGGTTCGCACTTAGGTTGGCACTTTGATTTGTCTGCTGAGTGAACGTTACATGGCCACTTGGTCGTAGGGATATTCTTGCCATATTGGCAGCCGGCCCAACCATGGTGCCTGGAACCGAGACCACATAGACCATACATAAACCTGAAAACGGGGAATAATCTGCGGAATATGTCAACCAGTGTACGTAAACAATCCGCACCGCTGGTTGGATATCCGAGGCGTAGAGAATTGTTATAGTAATCGCTGGCGTAGTATGTGGATGCGTCCCCTGTGCCGAGGATCGCAGTAAGGAGATTATGTGACCAATTACCTAAACTAGGCAAACCATAATGCACGGCATCTGAGACACGCTGTTTTAAATCACTGTCTTTCTTCGTGTCGTACTCGCTACAGTACGTGGTGAGCTTGTCATAGACAGCGTTGTATTCAAGACCGGAACACCAAACAAGCATCTCATACACAGAGCATGGATTTCTAGGTGAGGATACAATTGTGATATGACCGACACGGAAATATTGATTAAGGTGAGTTGTGAGACATACAAGGATGTCTAAGACGTCAAATGATTTTTTAGGTGATAAACAGTCTGTAATATGTGCAATATTTTTGGCGGCATTCTGAAGTTCTTCTTTCAGCTTCTTGTGAACGTCCAGACCTTTATAATCATTCACCGGTAATTTCAATTCGCCTTCCTTGGAAGCTTGATTTTTGGCTACTTGGTATCCGAGACGCTTGAGGAATGAACCCAGCGATTTTTCGTCATTTTCATCTTCACATATATGTTTTGTTTTCCACTTCCCACCGCAGTCATCTTCCAATTTATGTAAATCGCGACACAGCATTTTAAGGATGGTGAGGAATACTCTAGCGCCCTTTTGGCTTTCCTCAGTCAACTCAGTATTATAGCTGACATGAGTAGTGTACACGGTTGCTGTAGTGCCTTGTTTCCGCCAAGTGATTTCCTCCCCTCCATCATACGTATTCACGTACGCCTTCTTGAGCTCGTCGGTAAATCTCTGCAGCCCTTTTCCTACGGCGTCCAGCAGTTCCGGGTGCCGCAGGTTTGCGAATTGGGAAGGGGCTAGAGAGGTGAGGGAGGAAATGAGGGTGGAGAGCTTATCTTTAAAGGATTTATCGAAAAGGTATTTTCTAGTTTGTAGACTAGTATTAGTGTCGTTAAAGTGAGTAAGTAGAGTGGTGAATTCTGTTGTAATCTTTTTAACGTCTTTTGATTGTGGAGTAGGCTCCGGGGCCTTGCCGCCGGCCTGCTTCGCGGCCTTGTCCTTCTCCTCTTGTGTCATGTCCACTTCACCTTCAACATGAGTTAAAATAGGTTTCACATACTCATGGAATTTCTCGGACAGCTGTGAGAATTTATTACGATACTGCTCAGCTGCAGAATATTGCTGATCTATCGCACTTGCAACAGTAACAAATGCCTGGAACTTATTATCTGATGAACTTGGAACGGCAGGATACTTCCCGCCGTTCATCCACTTCATCATCCCCTTCAGCCCGCTGTCTAAATCCTTTCGGATAATGTCATCAATCAATGCTTTCTCCCTCTCAACTAACCCCTTCAGCTTCTCGAGCGCGTGGGCCTTGGCCTGGGCGAACTGGGAGAGGGCTTGGCGTTTGATTTCTTTTTTTGCGCTCTCCGATTTTAGTTTGTACTGGTCGTGGAATTTCTTTATTTCCTCTAGGAATGATTTTTGGAATTCGGTGAGTGCATCTCTGAGTTGGTCGAGTAGTGTCTTCAATTGGGATTGGGCTGTGTTCAGGGTGGCGATTACCGATTGGATGTCTTCTTCGATTTTTTGTTTTAACTGGGCCAATTCCTTGGTGACGTTTTCCTTTTGGGTTTCAATGGTGCCTTTATCACTTGCTCCATTTTTTAGTGTTTCAAGTTTCTTGATATCTTCAGTAAGTTTCTCGATTGCGGTGGGAAGCGTTCCTCCCGTGTGATTCAATATTTTTTCCAGGGCACTAATATTTCTTTTTACGCCATCTAATGCTGCAGTAATTTTTCCACCGGGGGTACTGGCTTCGCTGAATTGATTACGGATTTTATCGACATTGCTTATAGCGGTGTTCACTGCGGCGATATTGGAGGTGACGGAAAAGGAATTTAGTTCTTCACCAACTTGTCTGGCCGTGGAGGACAACGCAACTAAGGCAGCATGGAGGGAGAGTGTAAGAACGTGATAGTCAACATCAGAGGAGGAATTGATGAACTCCTGCTTAACGGCCGAAATTATGTTGTCCACAAGCGTACCAATCCCTCCCTCTCTCATTTTATTATCAAGCTCGTCGGCAAACGTTTTGCAAACATTTTGCACAGCGGTTATATTCACGCCAATCTTTTCATCTAGTGCATCAATCCTACCCTGAGCAATATCAATGTTGTACTTAAGTTGTTTCTTAACTTCCGTTTCGATCCTTAGGGTAAGCTCCTTAATGATTCCATTTTTGGCTTGACTCTGATATTTGGGAGTATTAAAATGCTTCTTCCTGTGGTTATAGCCAACCCACCAACCAAACCAACCTTTTATAGGTTCCTTCGTAAAAATGTCTTTTAACCACTCATTCACTATATTTTCATAATTCTTGAATTTTCCAGCGTGCACCTTAAATCCCTCAACAATTTGTTTCAGCCCGGATATTTGAGCTGTACCATTAATCTTGCCCAGCAGTTCACCAATGTTTCCGGTTAGCTCCTCCCAATTATATTCTAGTACACCTTTGCCACCATTATGGCCACCTAGATATTGTATTTGAATAAAAGCCTCTTGTGCCTGTCTAACCAACTCATCAAGCTCTTCTTTTTTGGCGGTCAATGTCCTATGAGCTTTATCTATCTCTTCCTTTATTTTATCAAATGCAGTTGTAATTGAATCCTTGAATTTAGGCTCCAAACCGCCAATGCTCTTCTCTTCCTTTAATGCCTGTTCAAGCTGCCACTGTGCTCTCTCTATAGAAGCCTTCAATAAACCTCTACGCTCTTTCTCAATCTTCTCGAGGATCTCTTTAATCCCCTCCTTCAACTTCTTCTTCAACCCCTCTTCCTCTCCTACTCCATCCTCCACAACTTTATCCAACTTCCCAAACTCCTCATCCACCTTCCCACACACCTTAACAAGCCCCTCGTGATCCTGCTTAGTGGAGTCCACAAAAGTGTCCACTCTGTCTTTAATTAGGGTGACGTGGGGAAGTAATTGCGTTCTAAGATTTTGGTCGAGTATTTCTATATTATTCGAAGACTCATTGGGAAAGGATGGAAGCTCTTTGACGGATCCCATCCAGGACATGAGAAACATTTTTGCGGAATCATCATATTCTCTTCCATTCTTCATAATATCAATTACATCATTTAGTTCTTTAACGTGTTCATTAAGATCATTTAACGGCTTTTTCACCGCCTCACTCTTCTCATTCACATCCCCCAACCACCTCTCAATCCCCTCCTTGACACTGTCAATCACAGCACGCAAACCTGTTTTGCCGTTATTAAGATTCTGAGACAAGTTAGTTACAGCGTCAGTTAATGTATGTTTATAAGGAGAAAGATTATCATTTTTATGAACTTCATTTAAAACACCATGAAGGAAAGACATCACCCCGTCACAGAGCCTGTCAAGGTCCGAGTACACAATTCCCTCCCCGGTGTAATTCCCCTCCTTGTAGCCGAGAAAATTTTCGAGGCCTGTGCAGAGGTTTTTAAGAATTTCTGCACAATTATCATCACGAATATTACCAAGAGATTTAAATGACTCATTAAGCTTACTCAGCCTCTGAAGAGCATCCAACTTGGACTGATGAGAGGATAAAAGGCGGGAATCTTCGGAGGAGAGGGGAGAAATTTTGTCATTTTGACGTTCTTCAAGAGGCTTTTTAAGAGCTTCATAACTCTTAATTTTCTGCTCAAGCTCAGCATCATTTATAAGCCCAGCAGACACGGCAGGGGCAGACTGCACAGTCGAAGACGAAGACTTTCTAAGGCTTTTGAACTCATTATCACTGTTAATAATGCTGTTAATAGCATCTTTAATTGCTGTAGTAATGACGTCAGAATTGCCAATAAATTGGCCAAGTTTTCCACTAAGGTCAGCAAGAGACAGCAACCTGGAGTGGACGTCCTTCAACGCACTGTCCCTTTTGGACGTATTGTTGTGCACTTCACTTTTGTGGCTGCTTAAGTCATATTGAAGTTTACTAAGCTTATTTTCATCAAAGTTGTCAGAATTTTTAAGCTTCTTAATTTGCCTAGTCAAGTGATCACAGTAGTTAAGAGGCTGACCAGAGGAGTCAGAAGGAGGCCAGGAAGGGAGGGCAAGAAAGGTGAGAGAAGAAAGTGAGAGAAAAGGTTGAAAGGCGGTTAGAGGAGGTGAAATGGGACACTTTTGGAGAATTTAAGAATTTTTTGAGAAAGGCGATTTTAGGTGAGGGAGGCAGTGAGGGAGGTGGGTGGACAGGGTGAGGGAAGTGAAGGGGCGAGAGAGGGCGATGAAGGAGGACGATGGGTTGAGGTAAGGCGATTTCGGAGGTGGAGGGGGAAAGTGGAAAATGAGTGTTTGGGTGAAGGACGCCGACGGAGGAGGTGAGGGAAGGGGTGATAGAGGAGGGAGCGAAGCGACCAGTGAAAGAGGAAGGTGAGTGAGTGAGTAGGTGAGTGGGTGGTTGAGTGGGTGGTTGAGTGGTTGAGTGAGTGAGTATGTGGGTGGTTGAGTGGGTGGTTGAGTGGTTGAGTGGGTGAGTTGGTGAGTATGTGGGTGAGTGAGTGAGTAGGTGAGTGGGTGGTTGAGTGGGTGGTTGAGTGGTTGAGTGAGTGAGTATGTGGGTGGTTGAGTGGTTGAGTTGGTGAGTGGGTGATTAGGTGAGTGGGTGATTAGGTGAGTGGGTGAGTGAGTATGTGATTAGGTGAGTGAGTGATACACAGGTCACACGTGAAGGCACGATTACGGTGAGAAGTACTTGACGTTGGCGAGTGCCTTGACGCGTGCGGCGGCGAGCAGCGACTGCGCGGCGATGCGGTGGCTTGCGGGTGATTTTAAGTGGGAGCGTATCTTCAAGACGTCGAGGCGGATGACGGTGATGTGCAGCAGGTAGAGGAGCGACAGCGACCAGAGGGCTAATAAGAGGTATGAGAAGGGTTCTCTGATCTTCCATAAGAAATTGGGAATTGTTTCGTGAATCAACATCGAGAGCACTGATTTATCTGAACATACAGTCTGCAACTGTTTTACAAATGTCTTACACGTCCTTTTGGGAATATTCTCTGTATCCATTGTGCCATCAAGATAACTGCGTTCACCAAATGTGAAACCATATGTATACAGTGTCGGATGGCTCTTACGGCAGCTTAGAATAGAATTACAGTTGTCGCCATGCTGATAGCTTATTTTCTCGAAATAAGAATTATTTGAAACACTGCAAACACCTTTCGCACATCCCCTCACACGACACTTGGATTTCGGCGACCCGCAGCTATCATGGCAATTTTCTTTTAACTTACACAATAACTGATGGAATGTCTCCGTGAGATAGACAATCCACGTCAGGTGATTGGAGGCATTTTTGGAAGCGAACATACTGTATATGGAATTACTCAGTGAATCCATGTATGCTCCGCAATGGTTATTCGCGTCGTAACATTTAATGTCAGGGCGATATAAACTATGCAGACTGTATCCGTTGTGTTGTGATGTACTCTTCTTATTTTTAAACAACTCACCACAGTCATCGAGATCCGGAACATAGCCAAAGGATGCGGCACTAACCTTCCCATTGAACGGCGTCTCCCTCTGTGCCTTACGTTCTTTGTCGTTGTCGTCCCACCCATTAAGGAAGTTGAAATAGAAAGCAAACATATCATCTAGAGTTTGCGGAGGACGGCTAACGAGGCAATTAAGCATACAGCAGAGCTTAGTGAGGGGCGTGTCGACGCTGCCACAAAATTCATCAAGGACACTGCTCAAATGCTCACCGGTTTTCCTATGTGATGCGATAATACCGATTTCGGGGAATCCCATCGGCGTCTTACATGGCTGCCCAGGCGGCGCCTTAGTGCACGTGGAGCATGTCATTTTTGCTCCGCTGGATGATAGACCATGCGGCAAGAACCCTTGCAAGCCGTCCTCCAGAAACGACTGCAATGGAGACTTAAGACCGCAGTTAGGGTCTTGGTCACAGCTTTGGTTACACTTTTGGTTGTGCTTTTGGTAACCAATTTGGTTGGCCTTTTGGTCACCCGCTTGACCAGGGCACTGCATAGAGTTACACAGCCAGCTGGAACCGCCGACTTGGTTACCATACCAGCATTCCTTCCAACCGCTCAATGCGCTCTCACACGAACACTGTTCACGTAGGAAACAGAGCTGCCGGTACAGGCGTTTGGCAACATCGAATAACAGACACACTAATGTGTTAAAGTCACTAGGGTACAACAAATTATCTGAGTTTGTGTAAAAGTCACAAGCGTATCGGCCAGCGGCGTGGCCGTGACCAAGGATGCCAACTAATACTGTTTCAGCTTTGGAACTAACTTCGCGAAGTGCCTTGGTCAAGTTGTTTGGTCTGAGGCGAAACTCATTTATGCCTTGCATACCGTCCGGCACGTAAACATCCAACCTATCTTTCTTTTCGCCGAACAACGACGGGAACTTTGCGACAAGTTTATGATATGCGGAATTGAAGTACAAACCGCACATCCACTGGAGCATCTGGTAGACGTTGGACGGCGCGGCGGCCTTGTCGATGACACGGAGGTGACGGACTTCATAGTACTTGTGGAGATATCCGTGGATAAAATATAGTGCGCCGTCGGTATTCTTTTCTCCGACGTACAATGTTTCACCAGTATGTGGAATTACGCCATTTTTAGTCATTAGTGCGATGATCTTCGCACCATTCTTCCCACTGTCCAACTCGCCAGTCTGATTGGTGTCATCTCTCGACACTCCGAAACCATTGTCCATGAGCCAGATGCCAAGTGGGCTTTTGTTCCTCTGACTGCTCGACACTTCATACAGAGATACTTTATTATCTTTCCAGTTACCGTCACGCTTGCACGCTTTTCTTAAGTCTTCCAGGTCATGGAACAGCGTGTCGAACACAGTGAGACACACCTTCGACAGCTTTTCACCGTTCGGCGTCAATTCATCTTTTTGCTCAGCTGGTTTTGTGGCTGCAGCTTGCTGTCCAGGTTTTTGAGCGACGGGAGTTGGCTTAGCTTCCACCAACTTAGTGAAGTCTATTTTATCAGGGTGTCCGTCGTACTTGTTTATGTACGCCTTGTGGAGCTCGCCGGCAAAGTCCCGTAGACCATGACCGATAGCGTCCACAAGTGGAGTTGATGAGAGTGCGAAGCATTCCGGTTTCAGGTCGCCGAGTGCAGCGGTAAGGTTATCTAGGTGTTGGGGGACATAATGGTCGTACCTGTTGCCTGCGTTAATCTGGTGAAATAATTTGGTGAGTTCATTATGTACACCGTCCAGCTTGGAGACGTAGACCTTTTTGTTGTAGTCGGATTCAGTATGTGTCAGCTTGTAACTGAGCCTCTGCTGCTGCTGCTCGTTGAGCCTCTTGACCTCTTCCTTCACGTAGTCGTGGACATTATTGTAGTACGTCTGGAAGGCTTGTGACAAAATTTTGAAAGTGTCCTTCGTTGGCTTATCTTGCCCAGACGGCTGAGTTACAGCTGCTTTTACTGCATCAAGCAGTGTAGTACTTTGCGAAGCTTCAAACTTGAGAGGCTCACTTTTGCTCACGGTGAACTTGATGCCCTGCAGAGCCTTCATGAACCCCTTGTAACCAATGGTCAAATCCTTCTCGATCATGCCCGTCAGTCCGGTCAGGTGGCCCTGGACTCTGACGGCGAAGTTCTGCAGCGCGATCTTGATGGAGGAGACGTAATGCTTCTTGGCCTGGGTGGTGAGTTGTTTTTTCTTCTCCTCCACCTGCGAGTCGACGTGCTGGTGGAGCTGTTCGATGGTTTGTTTGCACTTGGATGTTGCGACAGAGTCAAAGGCCTCCGTCCATTCGATGGCTTCCCTGAGAGTCTTGCTTTGAAGCTTTTCGAGGTTATCGTGGATTTCTTGGAGAGTATCTGGTTTAGGTTTTAGGTCCTCAGCAGTTTTGCCGATCTTGGTTTTTAGCTCCTTCAATTTCTCGTTGATTTGTTTGCCAACCTCTGTCATCGCCTTAAGGAGTGCTTCGAGATTGGATGTAACGGCGGTGTGCCAGCCGGTGAGCTTGTCCGTCGTTATTTCTTTGGTCAGCACTTTCGCCTGGCCTTGGACCTGCTCGATGGCGGTGTCGACGTTTTTGGCGTGATTAACGGGGGTGGGTGAGCCGGTGGTTCTACTGCCAGCTTGTTGTCCAGTCGCCTTTTCGAGACTACTGCTCAGGCCGTCAACGTTCTGCTTAACGGTGTGCAGTTGTGCGTGGACGCTGCCTTGCTTAGTGGCATCCGTGCCGACATTGTCGGTCAGTGTTTTAAGATGCGCTTTAACATCCGATTCGAATTTCTCCAGCAATGCCTCAAGCTGGGATTTCTGGTTTGAGGCGGTGAGTGGTTGGTAAGAACCGTAACCATATGCTGATCGGACTTTTGGGGATTGGAGTTGAGTACAGATGCTCTGAGCGCTTTGGATACATTGCTGAAAATGTGTTTTGTAGCGACTAATCCAAACGCTGACACCGCTGCTCATGTGTCCCACTTGTTGTTTTAAGTGATCTAATTGCTGTTTCCACCGCAGCCACTCACCTCTAACCTTCGTCCACTGTTCATCACCAACGCACTTGGCAAGTCTTTTCAGATTTTGGAACTTCTCGCCTGCGGTTGAGAGAAACAGTTGTATTTGGTCAACGCTGGATGATGCCTGAAGGGTGCTGACCTGGGTGCTAAACTGTGAAAAATCAGTATGAATATGGCTCAGCCAAGCGACATTGGCATCCTTTATGTTCTCCAGAATCTGAGGTCGTAAACGCTCAACATTCATTTTGTACTGATTAATTTGGTCTTCACTGTGGGCCTGCAATTTGTATCGCCTAGTAATGTCCTGGAGCATTCTCTTATTATTATTCAAACCACTTTCATGCGTCCCTTGTTGCCCATTTTTTTTCTTAACATCTGCCGGCATCACTTCCAACAGCCAATCAATCCTTTTCTCCAACTCGGCCGCCTGCGCATCAATGAACTCTTTGGTGAGTTCAAGGGCTTTGGAGTTGAGATCGGAAAGCGTTGGAACGATTTTAGTATTATACGTCCCACGATCACCAACAATTCCATGGAGACCATTTCCTCCGCCATCGTTCGTCCCCTTAATTTGCGCAACCGTAGTCCTAATCTCTTCAAAAATCTTATCAATACTTCCCGGCGCGTCCCTGCCTCTCTCCTGAAACTGCTTCCCCAGCTCCGTTACCTTCGTAGTAACATCTTTACTCATCCGCTGAAGCTCATCCTTGTACTTCCCAAACCATTCAGTCCACTGTTCTAACTCCTTTGCAATCCTGTTAATGTTATCCCTTTTATCCCAACCGACATGATCCTTGACAATAATTTTGTTAGTATCCTTCACTGCACCGTCTACAATTTCATTCGACTCAAAAATCCATTTTTTCAGTTCCTTCACGTAGCTCTCCAGGTGCACATTAATGTAGCGAAGCTTTTCCAAAATATGTTTAACACGCTCCTTTAACAGACGTACAAGCTCTTCCACCTGACGCGTAATTTCTGATTTAACTTGCGTTCGAAGCTCTTCGAGCTTCTCACTTACTTTTCGTTCCATCTCCGCCAACTCTTCTTTTTCATTCTTCCACACTCTGCCAAGACGCTGTCCTTCAGTCCGTACAATGTCCCCTGCTTTATTAATTTGCTCTTTTGTTTCATGATTTAAGTCCTTAATTTTATCACTCGCACTAAGCATTTCACGATGAAATTGCTTAGCAAGTTGTTGACATTTTGACGCCATTCCATCCACTTTACTCCTGGATTGCTCAATTTTATCTGCGTTGGGCACCTCATTCTTTTCTTCTTTTTTGGGGTATGTTTCCTTTACTTGATCTTTAATCTTATTCATTTCTGAATCCAAGGATTCTATTTTCTTCCTGACATGATCATTTGATTCTTTTACCGAATCATTGTACTGCTTCACCTTACTGGCCACCTCGGCTACCGCCGCCTTGTATTTAGTAATACCATTATTATTTGTGTCTTTAAGTGATGTAAGTGCGCTAGTTAAAGTGCCTTTATGCTGGCCTAATTTAGGCTTAATGTTACTTAAAACACCATGAAGGAAAGACATCACCCCGTCGCAGAGCCTGTCAAGGTCCGAGTACACGATGCCGGAACCATCGTAGCCTTTGGAAGTTTCTTGGTAACCAAGGAACTTCTCCAAGCCAGAGCACAGGTTAGTAAGTAAATTATGGGAATTATTAGGCACATTCTTTAAGCGATTTGGGGGAATTTGGGGAAAGGCGATTTTAGGTCAAGGAGGCAGCGAGGGAGCGAGGGAGGAGGGTGGACAAGGTGAGGGAGGTGAAGGGGCGAAAGAGGGCGATGAGGGAGGAAGATGGGTTGAGGTAAGGCGATTTTGGAGGTGGAGGGGGAAGGTGGAAAATGAGGATTTGGGTGGAGGACGCCGACGGAGGAGGTGATGGAAGGTGGAGGAAGGGAGCGAAGCGACCAGTGAAGGAGGTGGTGAGTGGTTGAGTGGGTGGTTGAGTGGGTGGGTGGGTGGTTGAGTGGTTGAGTGGGTGAGTGAGTGAGTGGTTGGGTGGGTGAGTGGTTGAGTGAGTGTGTGAGTGGTTGAGTGGGTGGGTGGGTGGTTGAGTGGTTGAGTGGGTGAGTGAGTGAGTGGTTGGGTGGGTGAGTGGGTGAGTGAGTGTGTGAGTGGTTGAGTGGGTGGTTGAGTGGGTGGTTGAGTGGTTGAGTGGGTGGTTGAGTGGTTGAGTGGGTGGTTGAGTGGGTGGGTGGGTGGTTGAGTGGTTGAGTGGGTGAGTGAGTGAGTGGTTGGGTGGGTGAGTGGTTGAGTGAGTGTGTGAGTGGTTGAGTGGGTGGTTGAGTGGGTGGTTGAGTGGTTGAGTGGGTGGTTGAGTGGTTGAGTGGGTGGTTGAGTGGGTGAGTGAGTGGTTGAGTGGGTGAGTGGGTGGGTGGTTGAGTGGGTGAGTGAGTGGTTGAGTGGGTGAGTTAGTGTGTGAGTGAGTGTGTGATTAGGTGAGTGAGTGGGTGGTTGAGTGAGTGAGTGGTTGGGTGGGTGAGTGGTTGAGTGAGTGTGTGAGTGGTTGAGTGGGTGGTTGAGTGGGTGGTTGAGTGGTTGAGTGGGTGAGTGAGAGGGTGAATGAGTGGGTGAGTGGGTGGTTGAGTGGTTGAGTGAGTGGGTGGTTGAGTGGTTGAGTGGTTGAGTGGGTGGTTGAGTGGGTGGTTGAGTGAGTGATTAGGTGGGTGGGTGAGTATGTGAGTAGGTGAGTGGGTGAGTGATTAGGTGGTTAGTGAGTGGGTGGTTGAGTGAGTGGGTGGTTGAGTGGGTGAGTGGGTGAGTGGGTGGGTGGTTGAGTGGGTGGGTGTGTGGGTGATACACAGATCACACGTGAAGGCACGATTATGGCGAGAAGTACTTGACGTTGGCGAGTGCCCTGACGCGTGCCGCTGCGAGTAGCGACTGCGCGGCGATGCGGTGGCTTGAGGGTGATCTCAGGTGGGAGCGTATCCTCAGGACGTCGAGGCGGACGACGGCGATGTGCAGCAGGTAGAGGAGCGACAGCGACCAGAGGGCTAACAATAAGGTCATGAAGGGGAGACGGATGCAATATATGAAGTTGTCGATAACATTAAATAGTTTTTCAAAATACGGCGAATGTAATACATTGTATAATTGCGCAGTGAAATTGCTGCACTTCACTTTCTTCTCATTTAATATTTTAACGCTGCCGAACGTGCATCCAAAGCGGTACATAGTTGATAGTACGCCGCCACATTCGACAATAGATGCGCAACTACATGGACGCTCCTCATCGCCGTGCTTACCAGAGGAACAATTGCATTTAGAGCATCCAGATGATTTGCAATCAATGCCTTGAAACGCTTCATATAATTCATTGAGTTGTTCCCAAAGTCGCCAAGCTAAATGCACAAACCATGACAAACATAGATTAGCATTTTTGTTGGCGTATGTGTGATAAATGGTCCCCGATAAGGATTGAATATATGGAGCACATGTGAGTCCATTTGTGCATGACGTTGATTTCGTTGTAATACTACACAGGTCACAATGAGTTTTAGTTGGGTCATCCTTTTGGGGAGCCTGCTTGTGATCATCGGATGTATACTGCAGATTTGCAAGAGCATCGGTTAACTCGGATGCCTGATGACTATTGTGAACACTTGCGCCCAGTGGCAGACACTTTGGGATAGTTTTATCAACAAGATGAGATCTGAAAACCGCATAGTCAGAAAATCTCGTGGATGTCCACGCCATGAACATGTTATAATAAAATGCAAACATGTCCCCCAAACTTCGAGGCGGAGAAGGATGCAGTGTCCAGAGGCAATGTAACAATTTAGGCAAAGGTGAATAAGCGTCTTTACATAAGCGTTTGAGCACATCGTGTATATCATTGCCGACGCCCTGCTTTGACGCCGCGGTCGACAAATCCCAGAAACCCATTGGAGGTATGCATTGCTGCCCTGGTGAATTCTTAGGGCATGTTAAGCATTTCGATGAACATCCAACTGATGTCAGTTTGTGTGGCAAGCACCCAGGCAAGCTGTCTGTTAGGTGAGCTTGCAGTGGTGATTTTACACCGCACTTAGGGTGTTGATCACAGCGTTGCTTAGTGTTTTGGTTAACCTTTTGGGGACACTTTTGGTTAGCACACTGCTTTGTGTTACAGCTCCAAGAGGAACCGCCGATATTCTGACCGTACGCACAATCACGCCAGCCGTTACCGTGAGACGCAGCATATCTACAACGGATACGCAGAAGATACAGCGCACAAAGTAAACGGCGGCAAATGTCACTAAGCATATCGAATAATGCGCTAACAGTTGTCGGATAATGAAAACTTCTAGAGTTGTTGGAGTATTCACAGGCATATGGGTAGTCGGAGTTGGGAGCGCCGTGGCCGTTACCGCAGATGGTTACCAGCACGTGATATGAATTTTGGCAAGTTAAGGATAGGTTGTCACACAACTCACGTTGAAGAATTTCACAAATGACGGGATCCTCCCTATTGGGCATTTTACCTGTTGCCTTGTTTTCCTCGTTCAGTAACTTTTTACAGTGGCCCTCAATTGTTTTATAAACTGCGGTATAAGGGAGGCCACACATCCAACCAAGCATATCACGAACGGAACACGGATACCTTTTGTATTTCGGAAGCTCGAGGTGACATACTTGGTTATATGTTTCAAGGTAATTGAAGAGTTTCAAAAGTACGGCGGCGCCATTCGTTGCATTTTTAGCTAACGTGAGATACGCATTAAAATCGATTTTTTGTTGTGGATCTTTGTGGAATTCACTATAGGTATGGAAGCCGTTGCCTAATTTGACGGCAACTTCTCTACCCGTTTTGTCTGTTTTAAGATTGTCTATGTCGAAGCCATGACGCTGGAGATGCTTGCTCAACTCATGTTTATTTTCTCCAGCGGTACTGCCGTCCATTTTGATATCTCTGTAATTTCTAAGGCAATTATAAAACAGATGGTGCGTACTCCACATCAAATTATGAATTATCGTCAAACAGACCTGTGCACCTTTACGTCCTTCAGGTGTCAACTTTGTGTTTTGCCCAGCGCTTTGGCCATCATTTTGGCTAGCACTCTGACTCACCCACTGCTTGATCGGCTGACATCCTTCGTACTTGTTAACGTAGTGCTTCTGTAACTCCTTAGCGAGAGCATCTAATCCGCTCCTAATGCTGTTGAGCAGCAGCGGTGTTTCGGCGTCACCAAACTGCTTAGGCACACATTTTTCTAGTTTCGCATTGAATTCACTCAGGTTTTTAGTAAAGGTATGGTCGAAATGATTGGAGTACGAGAGGTCAGTGAGCAATGTTGTGAGAGCTTTAATAGAGGACTTTATTTTGGAATAATCTGTAACAAAGTCTGTTTGCTTCTCAAGTTTTAGACATAATCTACTTACGCCGGCGTTGACGGTTGCGCACAAACCTCTTAACTTTTTCTTGTCTGATTCCTCTTTAAGGTTACCAGGCACCTTTTGACTTGCTGGAGTTACATATGCATTGAGTGGAGGCATGAGGTCACTCTTCATTTTGCCTAATAATCCTTTCACGCCTTTGACTTTATCTTCATCAATTATTGTTTGGATCTGTGATTTTTGTTTTTCCACTAAATCATGTAACTTCGTTAAGTCCTCTTGGTGTCCCTTGCAGAACATTTGTTTCGCGGCGGTGTGGACAGCGTCGAAGGCTTGTTCGGTAGTCCGGGTGAGTTCATCTTTGTCTTTGATTATTTTAGCTTGCAATTCCTGGCGGGCCGAATTAATAGCATCCCTGGCACCATCGATTGCTTCGCGAAGGGATGAATTAAATTCTGTGATTTGTGCGCTAATTTTTCTGATTCCTTCCAGAATCGTGCCAACTTGATTCTTCAATTCCTCCACTTGCCGTTTGATATCACCTTCAGCGTTTTCTTTTGTTGTGTCGACTAGACTCTGTGCTTCATTAATCTGTCGTTGCAGGTCGTCGACGAGCTTGCGAATATTGTTCTGCTGTGAACCCTGCACCAGCATTTCTATTTGTGTTTTAATATTAGGACCAACATCACTAAGTCCACTGCTAATAATGCTGTTAACTTTAGCATCGACCTTATCGATAGCTTTGCCGGCCGTTTCATTGAGTAGGGTGCCGAGTTGTTTATTGACTTCGTTAGATTCTACGTTTGCTTCTACTCTTTTTTCAATGCTGTCGGTAAGAGCAACGCCCGTGTCGGGGGTGGAGATGGGAGTGGAAAAGGTAATCGACGTGGTTAGAGCAGTGTCAAGCATATCAATTTTTTCGTACGCTCCCTCCAGCGTTTCCATTTTTGTAAGCATGTTTCTGATAGCCTTTTCGGCTTCTGATCTCTGTGTCAAATAATCGCCAAATGAGCCATTATCCGCAAGGTTGAAAGATGAAGTACCATCGACAGTACCGCTTTGGAAGAACTTTTGAACGTCCCTTTTGATGTTGTCAATCATGTATTTTAGAGATGTCGAGTCGAGAGGTTGTGTGCCTTTTACCCATTTGTAGTATGCATCCATTTTCTCTTGGAGACTAATTTCTGTATGAGCCTTTCCAATCTTCTGCGTCAGCGTATCAATAATGTCCTTGTTAATTTCGTCAGCGAAATTGGTACTAGGATTCCCTGCTCCGTCACTAGCCGGCGTAAGTTTCGTAATAAGCGAGCTAGCCGTAGTCAAAGCGCCGTCCACGTTGCCGAACCTACATGACTGCACAAATGCCGTGAGTTCGCTCGCAATATGCCTGGTGGCGGTGGAAAGAGACGATAGAATATAACTGACAGCGATTACGAGATTATGGCTGTATGTACCCCTTTTGTCATGTTGCACCAATTGCTCCTCAATTTTAGTTGCTATATCTGAGGCCAGCGTGGTATTTTGTTTCGCAAAATTCTTGGCATCAAGTTTCTTATTAAGCTCCCTTGACAAATCGTTGCATACACCCTTGACAGCATTCAAATCTGTTAAAACTTTCCCGGTAGTTTGTTTAACGAATGTCACCTGCTCCCTTGTGTAAACTTCTGCCTGGAGCTTTTTCTTAATTTCGGTTTTAATAGACTCATGCAGTGCCTGAGCATTTTTTATTTCACGTGATCCATTAAAGTAACTTTTCCCCCCAGCAGTGTTACCCTCAACATACAACTTAAGCTTATCTTTGACCGCTTCATTTTCATCCAGAATTTTTTGGATCCACCCAAGCAATGTTGTATTCTCAAATGTCTCCTTAGTGAAGTTCGAAGCATAGTCTGTCCACACTTTTGTTTTAATCGCTTGAAGTCCTTCGCCATTCTGCCTCTTACCGCTAATAATTTCATTGACCTTAGTTTGTATCGCAGTGACAACCCTCTGCATTTGGATCTTCAACTCACTTTCAATTCCAGTCCTCAACTTCCCCAAATCCTCCTGCACTTTGGTATCCAACTGCTGAAGCGCACTCTCAACTCCAGTGACAGCCGTATGAATTGCTTCCCCGATAAGCCCAGCGCCTTTCTCAAGTCCGCCGTTTAAGACACTTATATTATCCTTGACTTTATTGGCTTCCTTGTAAAACTCAGAATCATGTAAACCGACGCTTGTAGGCTTCACCGCATCCATAGACTGTCTAATCTTACTGACTTCCCACTGAACCTTCTTAACATACCTCGTAACATACTCCCTCAGTTTATCATTAAGCTCCTTTCGTAACTGCGTGATTTGCCTGCTCACGTTCAAACCAAAATCGCCGTCTTTTTTGAAATACTCCAGATCCTTCAACACCATTTGCTGAATTTGCTTACCAGCTTTTGCAAGCGCATCCAACTGACTTTTAAGGGGCTCCAACTGTCCACTAACCTGATCGAAAACCTGTTGAAGTCCATCGGAAATTGGGACCGTATTGAGCCCCTTAACATCATCATTCATGCTGTTCAACTTCTTAACAATCTTATTATCATAATGCTGCGCCAACACCTGTGCTCGCCGATCCGCATCTGTAACATCTATCTGTAAATTGGCTACCAGTTCCATCAACGACGCCAAATCTTCCTCGCGCTTGCCCTCAACGGTAGCAATATTTTGTTCGATTTCGTCAAACTTAGTATTTACCTTTTGACGAAGCTGGCTGGATTTTTCAACTATTTGCTCTCTGACGTGCTTTTTCTTGGCAGCAATATCACTATCAACCTTACCAACTGCAAGGCCGAACTCCTGGTCATCAGCAACACTCTTCAGGTGCTTAATCACCGTTGTGACAGGTTCTAATTTTTGGGTTATCTGTGATATAAGTGAGCTATCTAAATCATTAACCTTTTGGTTTTCAATAATATCGAGGTCCCAGTGGATTGCCTGGACCGTAGCGTTCCAAGCCCCCAACTGAGTCTCTAGTGAAGAACGTTCTTGACTTGTAACTTGAGTATAATATTCACCTGCATCAGATGACAATTTACCAATCAACTCACCTAATTTGTCCTTCACTCCTCTTGTCCTCTCCTCCACCTGCTCACCATGTCTGTTCAACCACTCACTTACCTTGGACACGGCCTCCGGGAAGGCCTGACGGCCTTTACCTACATTATCATGTAAATCACGAAGAACATTATTAATGTCATTTAGTGGATTATTATCATACGTTGTAACACTTTCATCATCCTTCACAGTCTGAAGAACACCATGAAGGAAAGACATCACCCCGTCGCACAGCCTGTCAAGATCGGAGTACACGATGCCCGTGCCGTCGTAGCCTTTGGAAGTTTGATTGAAGCCTAGAAACTTTTCTAAACCTTCAGTGAGATTTGGTAAAAGATTTTTACATTCTCCACTTGGTGATGAATTAACTTTATTAGCAATTTCACAAAGCTCTTTCAGTGTCTCAAGAGACCTCTTGGAAGCATTATGAGACTGAAGATCCTTATTAAACTTGCCAATTTCAGAGGCATTTTTACTTTTATTATTACCACTTTGCTGCAATTCAAGCTGTTTAATTTGCTCATTAAGCTTCTCAATTTTTTGAGTAATTGCATCATTAAGCTGTTTTAAGGGACCATTAAGATCATTTAACTTGCACTGATTAAGGATGTCAGTAAGATTTTTAGAGGCTTTTTGTTCCTCTTTAAGGTGATTTTTAAAGATTTCATTGATGTTATTAAGGTTATTTTTTACATCATTATACTCACAACACCCCTCACCTCCGCAAGATGTTTTTAAAAGCTTTTCAAGCTGATTTACATTACTGTGCAAACCATTCAAAATTGCATCTTTAACTTCTTCTCCACCACCAATAAAACCCGAAAGCTGTCCAGCAAGCTGACCAAGAGAGATACGGCGGGCGTGGATATCACCTAAGGCTTTTCCCCTGGCATCATCAGTAAGGTAATGGACATCATTGTAATGGTCATTGTAGGTGGATTAAAGGTGGATTAAGGGAGGGTTAAAAGAAGTAAAGAAGGAAGAAATGGCACATTTTAAGGGCGATTTGGGAGAGTTTGGGGAAAGGCGATTTTAGGTCAAGGAGGCAGCGAGGGGGTGAGGGAGGTGGGTGGAAAAGGCGGGGGAGGTGAAGGGGCGAAAGAGGGCGATGGAGGGGGAAGATGGGTTGAGGTAAGGCGGTTTTGGAGGTGGAGGGAGAAAGGTGGAAAATGAGGATTTGGGGGAAGGACGCCGACGGAGGAGGTGAGGGAGGAGGGAGGAGGGAGCGGAGCGACCAGTGAAGGAGGTGAGTGGGTGAGTGGTTGAGTGAGTGGGTGAGTGGTGGAGTGGTTGAGTGAGTAGGTGGTTAGGTGAGTGAGTGGGTGAGTGAGTGGGTGAGTGGTTGAGTGAGTGAGTGGTTGAGTGAGTGAGTGGGTGAGTGGGTGGTTGAGTGGGTGGTTGAGTGGGTGGTTGAGTGGGTGAGTGGTTGAGTAGGTGGTTGAGTGGTTGAGTGGTTGAGTGAGTGGTTGAGTGGGTGGGTGGTTGAGTGAGTGAGTGGTTGAGTGAGTGAGTGGTTGAGTGAGTGGGTGGTTGAGTATGTGAGTGGTTAGGTGAGTGGTTGAGTGGTTGAGTGGTTGAGTGATTAGGTGGTTGAGTGGGTGGTTGAGTGGTTGAGTGGGTGAGTGATTAGGTGAGTGGGTGAGTGAGTGGGTGGTTGAGTGGTTGGGTGAGTGGTTGAGTGGGTGGGTGAGTGGTTGAGTGGGTGGTTGAGTGGGTGGTTGAGTGGGTGAGTGGGTGGTTGAGTGGGTGGTTGAGTGGGTGATACACTGATCACACGTGAAGGCACGATTACGGTGAGAAGTACTTGACGTTGGCGAGTGCCCTGACGCGTGCGGCGGCGAGTAGCGACTGGGCGGAGATGCGGTGGCTTGCGGGTGATTTCAGGTGGGAGCGTATCCTCAGGACGTCGAGGCGGACGACGGCGATGTGCAGCAGGTACAGGAGCGACAGCGACCAGAGGGCTAACAACGTTAGCATAAATGGCCACCGTATTTCTAGGAGGAAATTGGGTATTATTTCATGGACTATGTTATGTAAAGCGTTCTTTTCGCTTAATATGAATTCCAATGTATTGCAAAATTCTCTACATGTTCTTTTCTTATCCGATCCATACATACCAGCCAGATCGGATGCGTCGGCGAAATAAAATCCATACTTGGAGAATGTCGGCAATGTAAATCTACACTCCACAATTGAATGGCATGATTCATCATGCTTGGATTTTGAGGACGATTGCGGCTTCTTCGAATTACATATATCATAGCACATACTCATCTTACATTTGGACCCTTTAGATCCGCAATTGCGATTGCACTCATCGAACAGTTCTCTAAGCAGATCGTAGAGTCTCTCAGTAATGTATATAAGCCATGAAAGATATAGCTTCTTATTCGACGCAGAGAATATAGAATACACGTCACGAGACATAGACTGTAAGTATGTACCGCACGGATGCAATGATTTCGAATTGGAGACACATTTCACCAGAGAGAACATGTCACCACTACGATGATTGGTCTGGTTGCTACTGTGAATGACCGAAGACAATCTTGGATTAACGTCAAGGGTGTATCGCCGTCCGAAGTTGGCGTCATTAACGGCCTCGCAGAATGCGATTTCCCTGTGTTTTTGAATACCGTCCTCTTTCGTATTCCACCCGTCTAGCAAATTAAAGTAGAACCCGAAGAGGTCTCCAAGTGTTTGAGGGGCACTAGGGAGGAGGCTATTAAATACGGTGCAGATCCTAGTGAGCGGAGAATGCCGATTGCCACAAAACGTATCGAGCACTTCAAGAATATCTTCGCCCAACTTCGTATGAGACGCAGTAACACTAATTTCAGAGAAACCCATCGGTATTTTACACGGAGTCTTAGGTGACGTCTTGGGGCAACTGGAACATGAAAAGCTTGTCCCCTTGGTTGATAGGTTATGCGGCAAGAAGCCTACTAGGCCGTCCTCTAAAAAGGATTGTAGAGGGGATTTTAGGCCACAGTTAGGGTGTTGCTTACATGTTTGGTTGTGCTTTTGGTCACACGTTTGGGGGCAGTTTTGGTCAGCACATTGTTTTGTGTTACACTTCCATGCTGAACCGCCGACTCCGCGCCCATAGGAACAGTCACGCCAGCCACTGAGCTCGGTTTCATATCTACACTGATTATATAAGAAATAGAGTTGCTGGTAGAGCTGTCTGACGATTTCACGTATCGTGCATACTAACGTAGTCATACTACTGGGATAATACAAATTAAGGGCGTTGTTCGAGAAGTCAGAGGCGTAGGTTCCCTGTGCGTGACCATGGCCTAGGATACCTATGAGGACGGGGTATGATTTCGAACATACCTCATGAAGCGCGGGCTTCAAAGCTTCATAAGTTATCACGTAGGGATAAGCTTCTTGTTTGAGCAAGTGAGGATCGATTTCATGATATTCTTTATGCCTCATGTCTTGGGGTTTCTCGAACAATTGCATGAAGTATTTGCACAGCGGCTCAAAAACAAAATTATGCGGAAGGCCGTTAAGCCAGCAGAGCTGTTCGTAAACAGAGCATGGATACCTAGTGGAGGGAGAATGGACTAGGTGACCAACACGGATATATTGATTAGTGTGAGTGAAAAGTTTTTGAAGGACAGCAGCAGAGTTCTTAGATTTTTTGTGAGACTCGAGATAAAGATCGAACCGTTTTTCCCTGATATTGAAATTTGTAAATTCTCCATACGTATGGAAGCCGATATCCAATTTCCCAGCGACATCCCAACCAGTATGCTGCTTGTTAATCAGGTTCTGGATGTCATACCCCTGATCCTGCAAAAAGGTTTTCAGGGCGTCTTTATGTTTTTCGCTAGTCGAGTTCCCATTAATGGTAACTTCAATCCAATCTTTCGTACATTTGTAGAACAACCTGTGGAGTTTGTGGAAAACTGGCGAAATAAGGGTGAAGAATATTTTTGCGTGGTTCTCTTCGTACCCTGGCTCCCAAGGCTGGCCGGAGTAGGAATTGACGTAGGCGAAGCCCAGCTGAGTGGCCAGGGCATTGAGCCCATCTTTCAAGGCGTCAAGCACTATGGAACACGGTGCAGAGAACCTCTTAGGTTCGAAGTTATGAAGTGCGTTATTCAGATTATCTAAGTTTGTGTTGAAAGTGTGATTGAAGTGTCCGGAGGCATGAAGGCCTTGAAGCAGAGTCTGCAGAGACTGACGAGAAGGCTCTACATTGGAATGTACATGCTTGTAATCATCTTGCGTCTTGAGCTCTTCGATAAGTTGATTGAATGTGTAATAAAGTTTCGAAGCCCACTCATTAAATGTCTTGGGTGACGCTAGCATTACTCCGGATGCTTTTGGAGGTGGAGTAAGGGACACATCAAACTCGCCAATTGGGGTAACAAACCTCTCTTTAAATTTAGTCAAAAAGCCTTTCAGGCCACTGCTCTTGTTATCATTTATTTTTGTTCTGACTTCATAAGACTGCTTAGTAATCAACGTTTTCAACGCTTCCAAGTCCGCCTTACGGGCTTCGGCAAATAATTCTTGAACTTGCTTGGTGACAAATTGAAATGCTCGTTTAGCCTCTTGAGTGACGTTTTGAGTAAGCTCGTGCACGGCGCTTTGAGCGCCGTTGAAGCCCCTTTGAACGGCGTCTATCACTGCCATTTGTACGGCCTCGACGGCTTGAGCGGCAATGCTATGCGCTGTATAGACAGAGTCATGTACAGCACTTATGGCCTCGTGTAACCGTTGATCGGCTTCGTTGAAATTTCTTTCAATTGCGCCTATTTCAGCATCCAGGTTTGTAAACTCCTTACTAAGCCGAATCATAGCGCTTTCGATCTCTGTCTTCATTTGCCCGACTTCGCCGGGCAGCTTCTCTAGCGTTTCGATTTTTTGAAGGATGGCTTTGATGGCGATGTCGAACGAAGGCCTAACTCCACCTCCTTCCTTGTCGTCGTAACCCATAATTTTGTTTGCATCAACTTTATAATTGCCTGAGGTATCTTTTGTAATCACATCGCCAAATTGGTTTTTAATCCCTTTAATGTGACCGGTGAGAATACCGTCGCCTACTCCCCCATCTGCAGCTGTTTTTGTCTCGTTAAAATATTCTTTCATGAGTGCATTATCAGAAAATTTTATTTGTTTTAAATCTCTGCTTCCATCCGGTATTACAGCTTCTATTTTACCGCTTATGGCAGATTTTAAGACGCTTTCTACGGATTTTAGGATATCAATAGATGGGAGTGCACTTTGCTTGGATCTTTGCAGATAAAAAAACAATACTTCCAAACTGAAAGCTAGATTATCCTTAGCATCTTTATGCATGGATTTTGCCAAACCCTGCAATGTCGACAAGTCACCTATAAGAGCACTCTCGAAAGCATTTAATCCTTTCATATCGCTAAGCTTGCCTGTAGCAACGGACATCCCCGCCTCCAGTGCGCTTTTTAACTTTCCAACGTACCCATCCAATCCATTCTGAATGTCCTCTCTAGCTTTCAACAACCCCTTTCTGACAGCGTCATCCACCTCTGTAAGATGCTTTACTGCTTCATCCACTGCTTTATCCACTTTAGCTTTTACAGATATTAATTTCCCTTTGTACGTGTCTTCAATCTCCTTAACCTTACATTTAATACCCTCTACGTCATTGTGAAGCCGACAGTTTTTTGTATTCCCACCTGCCATCACATCACTCTTATCAAAGCACCTTAATGCTTTTTTAATATCCTCAATCATCGCAGGAATGGGAATCTTATACCTCTTATCGACATGCGCTATATGGAATTCAATCGTTGTCTTAGCCTTCTGTAAAGCATCGTTTATCTTCTCAAAACACTTATTTTTCGCCTCACGCAGACTACCAATATGGTCTATAATCCTTCCGAAGTCATCATCCACCGTCTTCTGCAGCTCAGGAAAATCTCTATTAATGTCAGCAATAGCACTCTTCCTCTTCTCCTCCAACGCCGCATGGGCCCCTTCAGTTTCTGCATTGATTCGCTGAAGCATCATAATGCTCTGCTTCATCAATGCATTGTCTACTTCGCCGACTTGAACAATGAATTTCTTATCATGCGCGAGACTTTTGAGAACATCTAGCGCCGATCTAATGCTTGCTATATTATGCATTACATTGTTTTTAAGTGAGCTATCAAGTAATTCTATGTGCTTAGTTTCTGAGTTTTTTAGGTCTATGTCTATGCCCTTCAGAGTCTTCATCCATGCTTCCAACTGCTGGACCAGTGGCTTCCCCTCTTGACCCTTGACCTCTTCATAATATTCACCTGCATCAGATGACAATTTACCAATCAACTCACCTAATTTGTCCTTCACTCCTCTTGTCCTCTCCTCCACCTGCTCACCATGTCTGTTCAACCACTCACTTACCTTGGACACGGCCTCCGGGAAGGCCTGACGGCCTTTACCTACATTATCATGTAAATCACGAAGAACATTATTAATGTCATTTAGTGGATTATTATCATACGTTGTAACACTTTCATCATTTTTCAAAGTGTCAAGAACTCCATGAAGGAAAGACATCACCCCGTCACACAGCCTGTCAAGGTCGGAGTACACAATACCCTCTCCGGTGTAATTCCCTTTACTGAAGCCGAGAAATTTTTCGAGGCCTGTGCAGAGGTTATTTAAAAGGTTTTTACAGTTATCGGATTTTTTATCAACTTCCTTAGCATATCCACAAAGCTCACTCAGTGTCTCAAGAGAATTCAAGTAAGCCTTGTGAGACTGAAGATCCTTATTAAACTTGACAATTTCAGAGGCATTTTGAGGAGATTGATAGGCATTTTAAATATTAAAACAGCGGTGAAATGGCACATTTTTAGGGTGATTTGGGGGAATTTGGAGAAAGGTCAAATTAGGTCAAGGGGGCAGCGAGGTGGTGAGGGAGGTGGGTGGACAAGGCGAGGGAGGTGAAGGGGCGAAAGAGGGCGATAAGGGAGGAAGATGGGATGAGGTAAGGCGATTTTGGGGGTGGAGGGAGAAGGTGGAAAATGAGGATTCGGGTGAAGGACGCCGACGGAGGAGGTGAGTGGAGGGGGTTAAGGGCAGGGAGCGAAGCGACCAGTGAAGGAGGAGGTGAGTGAGTGAGTGGTTGAGTGGTTGAGTGGGTGAGTGGGTGGTTGGGTGAGTGAGTGAGTGAGTGAGTGGGTGGTTGAGTGGTTGAGTGGGTGAGTGAGTGAGTGGGTGGTTGAGTGAGTGGGTGGGTGAGTGGGTGGGTGAGTGAGTGAGTGGGTGGGTGAGTGAGTGAGTATGTGAGTGAGTGAGTGGGTGAGTGAGTGGGTGAGTGGGTGAGTGGGTGAGTGGGTGAGTGGGTGGGTGGTTGAGTGAGTGGGTGGGTGAGTGAGTGGGTGCGTGATTAGGTGGGTGAGTGGGTGAGTGGTTGAGTGGGTGAGTGAGAGTATGTGGTTGAGTGGGTGAGTGGGTGATACACAGATCACACGTGAAGGCACGATTATGGTGAGAAGTACTTGACGTTGGCGAGTGCCTTGACGCGTGCGGCGGCGAGGAGGGACTGCGCGGCGATGCGGTGGCTTGAGGGTGATCTCAGGTGGGAGCGTATCCTCAGGACGTCGAGGCGGACGACGGTGATGTGCAGCAGGTACAGGAGCGACAGCGACCAGAGGGATAATAAGAGGTAGGAGAAGAAGTTGAGAAATGTTGAAAGATTATTTTAGGCACATTTTCAGGGCGATTTGGGGAAGTTTGGAGAAAGGCGATTTGAGGTCAAGGGGGCAGCGAGGGAGGCGGGTGGACAGGGTGAGGGAGGTGAAGGGGCGAAGGAGGGCGGTGAAGGAGGAAGATGGGTTGAGAGGAGGCGATATCGGATGTTGAGGGGGAAGGTGGGAAATGAGGATTTGGGTGAAGGACGCCGACGGAGGAGGTGAAGGGGGTAAGGGAGGGAGCGAAGCGACCAGTGGAAGGTGAGTGATTAGGTGGTTGAGTGGGTGAGTGGGTGGGTGAGTGGGTGGGTGATTAGGTGGTTGAGTGGTTGAGTGGGTGGGTGGTGAGTGAGTGGGTGAGTGGGTGAGTGGGTGAGTGGTGGTGGTGAGTGAGTGGGTGAGTGGGTGAGTGAGTGGGTGAGTGAGTGGTTGAGTGAGTGGGTGAGTGAGTGGGTGTCTGAGTGGGTGAGTGGGTGGGTGGTTGAGTGAGTAGGTGAGTGAGTGGGTGAGTGATTATGTGAGTAGGTGAGTGGGTGGGTGGTTGAGTGGTTAGGTGAGTGGGTGTGTGAGTGGTTGAGTGGGTGAGTGAGTATGTGAGTGGGTGGTTGAGTGGGTGAGTGGGTGGGTGAGTGGGTGGTTGAGTGGGTGAGTGGGTGGGTGAGTGGGTGAGTGGTTGAGTGGTTGAGTGAGTGGGTGGTTGAGTGAGTGGGTGGTTGAGTGGGTGGGTGGTTGAGTGGGTGGGTGGGTGGTTGAGTGAGTGGTTGAGTGGGTGAGTGAGTGGGTGAGTGGGTGGGTGAGTGGGTGGTTGAGTGGGTGGGTGAGTGGTTGAGTGTGTGGTTGAGTGAGTGAGTGATTGAGGTGAGTGGGTGAGTAGGTGGGTGATTAGGTGGTTGAGTGGAGTGGGTGGGTTGAGTGTTGAGTGAGTTGGGTGGTTGAGTGGGTGGGTGAGTGGGTGGTTGAGTGGGTGGGTGAGTGGTTGAGTGTGTGGTTGAGTGAGTGAGTGATTAGGTGAGTGGTGAGTAGGTGGGTGAGTTGAGGTGGTGAGTGAGTGGGTGGTTGAGTGGGTGAGTGGTGTTGGAGTGATTAGGTGTTGAGTGGTTGAGTGGTGGAGTGGTTGAGTGAGTGAGTGTTGAGTGAGTGGTGAGTGGAGTGGTGTCTGAGTGGTTGAGTGGGTGGGTGGTTAGTGAGTAGGTGAGTGAGTGGGTGGTGAGTTATGTGAGTGGTGAGTGGGTGGGTGGTTGGTGGTTAGGTGAGGAGTGTGTGAGTGTTGAGTGGGGTGAGTGAGTATGTGTTGGGTGGTTGAGTGGGTGAGTTGGTGGGTGAGTGGGTGGTTGAGAGTGTGAGTGGGTGGTAGTGGTGAGTGGTTGAGTGGTTGAGGTGAGTGGGTGGTTGAGTGAGTGGGTGGGTGAGTGGGTGGTTGAGTGGTTGAGTGTGTGAGTGGTGAGTGAGTGGGTGGTGTGGTGAGTGGGTGAGTGGGTGAGTGGGTGAGTGAGTGGAGTGGTTGAGTGAGGGGGTGATGAGTGGGTATGTGAGTTGGTGGTGATGTTGAGTGGTTGAGTGAGTGGGTGGGTGGGTGAGTGGTTGAGTGGGTGGTTGGAGTGGGTGGTTTGAGTGGGTGAGGGTGAGTTGGGGTGAGGGTTGAAGGGGCGAAGAGGGCGATGAGGGAGGAGGATGGGTTGGGTGAGGCGATTATAGGGGTGGAGGGGAAGGTGGAAAGAGGTTTTGGTGAAGGACGCCGACGAGGAGGTGATGAAAGGGGTGATGGAGAGGGAGTGAAGCGACCAGTGAAGAGGGAGGGTGAGTGAGTAGGTGAGTGAGGTGAGTGGTTGAGTGGGTGGTTGAGTGGTGAGTGAGTGGGTGGTTGAGTGAGTGTGTGGTGGTTGAGTGGGTGGGTGAGTGGGTGAGTGGGTGGTGAGTGGGTGGGTGAGTGGTGATTGAGTGGTTGAGTGGTTGAGTGGGTGAGTGAGTGAGTGGGTGGTTGGGTGGTGGAGTGAGGTGAGTGGTTGAGTGAGTGGTTGAGTGAGTGGGTGAGTGGGTGAGTGAGTGGGTGAGTGAGTGGGTGAGTGGGTGAGTGGGGTGAGTGGTGTGAGTGGTTGAGTGGGTGGGTGAGTGGATGAGTGAGTGGGTGGTGGTGAGTGAGTGAGTATTGAGTGGTGAGTGGTTGAGTGAGTGGGTGTGTGAGTGGTGAGTGGTGGTTGAGTGTTGAGTGGGTGAGTGAGTGAGTGGGTGGTTGAGTGGGTGGGTGAGTGAGTGGTGGTTGAGTGGTGGTGAGTGAGTGGTGGGTGGGTGATACACAGATCACACGTGAAGGCACGATTATGGTGAGAAGTACTTGACGTTGGCAAGTGCCCAACGCGTTGCGGCGGCGAGGAGGGACTGGGCGGCGATGCGGTGGCTTGAGGGTGATCTCAGGTGGGAGCGTATCCTCAGGACGTCGAGGCGGACGACGGCGATGTGCAGCAGGTACAGGAGCGACAGCGACCAGAGGGCCAGGAGAGTGTAGATGAATTTACTTCTGATGTCAAACAGAAATTGTGGTATGTGTTGTGTACAAGCATATAGAGGAAATTGTTTTGCTTGACGACAAATCCTAGCGTCTTACAGAAATCTTCACATGTACGCTTTGTACTTCTATCTGTTTGACCGCTTAGTTTGTCTGGGCTCCCGAAGGTAAATCCAGCGGTGTATATTAGAGAATGTGTGCTTCTGCAGTTGAGGATGGAATTACATAATCTTGAATGTCTTATTTGTCCGGGTGCTGATGATTTGACCTTTTGAGCATCCGATACTTGAGAGTCATAATACGGTTTTACCTGACAGTGATTAGCGCATCTGGAACCATTACATCTGCTGCCTGGTTTATTGCAATTATTGCAGCACTCATCATATAATTTCTTAAGTAAGTCGTAGAAAGTTTCTGTTATATATACAACCCACGACAGGTAATTACTAGCGTGCTCCTTAGAATACACCAACCTGATGTGTTCGCTTGCTGACTGCAAATATGATCCGCAGGGGAGAGACGTGTTTTTAGCATTTTTGCATTCTATAAGAGTGAACAGATCGCCGGTGAATTTCCTATCTGTTTCGGAGTAATGTTTAGAATGATTACTGGATTGTTGTATGGACACAACGTCCAGCTTTGTTTTCTCATTCCCAAAGTTGGCGAGGCTCACGGCTTTATTGAACGCAACGCTCTTGTGGTCTTTACTACCACCCTCCCAAGTGGAAAGAAAACCATGGTAAAACCCGAACATATCGCCAAGCGTCTGCGGTGCTCGTCGGAGGAGACAGTTGAAAAAACTACACAACCTGGTGAGGGGAGACTCAGGCCTGCCGCAGAAACGATAAAGTACGCTAAAAAGATACGTGCCGTCTTTAGTACGCGATGCCATATTGCTAATGTCTGCAAAACCCATGGGAGTGATACACGGTTTACCATGATGATTGGTTACAGTACATGTTAGTTTGCAGCCAGGTGTTTTGAATGAGTGCGGGAGGAAACCCGGCAAACCGTCTTCAAGGAAAGACTGCAGTGGCGACTTAACACCGCACTTGGGATGTTGGTCACAGCTTTGCTTTCCTTTTGGGTACCAATTTGGTTAGCCTTTTGGGGACACTCTTGGTTGGCGCACTGCTTCTCGTTGCACATCCAGTCGGATCCCCCGACATGCCGACCGTAATGACAATCTTGCCATCCTCCCCGACTACGGCCGTTTGAACACTGGCTATATACGAAACGCAACTGATGAAACACTCTAGTCAATGTATCTATCAACATGTCAAAACATGAAGCTGGGCTACCTGGGTACATTAATTTATTTGTGTTAGTGTAAAAGTCTACGGCGTATATACCGTCAGCGTGGCCGTGGCCGAGAATTGCGACCAGAATGTCTTCGGAGTACAGACATACCTCGCGAAGTATGGCGATCAAGCCGTCATGTCTTATTTCAGTGGTGGCGGGAAGAGTTAATTGGCTAGTGGGAATATCAGAATATGGTTTATCTTTAAGTGTTTTAGGTTTAGGAACAATTCCTTAATGTGCTCTTTCAGCTTGTCATACACCGGATTAAAGTATAACCCGAGGAGCCACTGAAGCATTTGGTAGATGTTGGACGGGGATATAGGTGACGCAATGTGTTGCATGTGAGGAACTTTGTAATAGTCGAGGAGATGTCTGAATAATGTCCTAAGGGGACCGGCATCTTCCTTCTTGTTATCCTGCTTAAAAACATATTTGCCATTACCGTTGACAAGGAGACCCTTAATATGCTCTCCCTTGACATTTTCGTCATTCCTTAACTCCCGTTTTGTGTCTTGTTATCATCGGACACCTTGAAGCCTCGGCGTTGGAACCAATCTCCAAGGGGATTTGCGGTCCTCTTATTTTTCTCATTGTCATACATACGAATGCATTTATCTTTACAATCCTTTCCATCAATACACTTATCATACAGATTTCTCAGATGACTATTCAATATCTCCAGTAAGGTCAAAAATACCTTCGCGCACTTTTCGCCTTCTGGCGTAACTTTTTTACTCACGTAGTTATACAATAAGATTTCTTCATGCCCCTCATACCTATTCACGTACCCCTTCTCCAGCTGCTCGACGAACTTTACCAGGCTCTTGGGGAAAGCGTCGAGCACGGGGTACGCGGGGTTGGCGAAGCCTGTGGAGTGGAGTGCTTGGACGGACGTCGTGAGATTTTGCAGCATTCCGGGGACGCGGTGGTCGAAGTGTTTTTGGTCGCGCAGGTGGGAGAGGAGGGTGGAGAGAGCGGTGTGGATGGTGGAGAGTTGGGAGGGGTATTGGGAGTTGGGGAGATGTTTGGGGAGGTCGACAAATACATATTGGAAAATATCGTAAAGATAATCTTTTAATTTGGGAGAGAGAGATTCAACATTTTTATGGCCTTTGAGGTCATGGAGTTTTCGGCCTCCATTATGCTTGTCTAAAAGGATGCTCAAAAAGCCCTTGAGCCCCGTCTTTTTGTCGGTGTCGATGATGGAGTCGATTGCGTTCTTCCGCTCCTGCAGTAGCTCTCGGAGGGCTTGGAGGTCGGCTTTGTGGGAGTGTGCATAAAACAATTGTACATCGTTTGTTAGGTTTTGGAAGGCCTTGTTGACGTCGGTTACAAGTGTGTTTATGGCTTCCTTCAAAGCTTTGTCGGCGTCCTCCACTTTTGCTTGGACTTCTTGTATTCTCCCTTTAATCTCTGCTTTCAACTCATCCATGAGCCGTGCCGCTTCATTCCTTTGCTTCTCGATTTTGCCATCTTCGTTGTTTTTAGTACTTTTTTCATTTCGAATGTCGTCAAGCTCTGTAATGGTTTTTTGTAGTCCGTTAACTTTATCGCCAAGCTTATATTTAATGGAACCTTCCTTATCATTCTGGTCTAGCAATGTGGTAAGCTTTTCAATAGGAGCGGCAACGTTTGCCAATGCGGCGTCGATCAACCCGCCAAATTTCCCCTTATTATTCAATCCGTCACCAAACTCATTTTCGATTTCTCCGATTTTGGTCATAGCCTTTGTCACGTTGGTAATCTGTGAGTTTGTGGTGAATGAGTGAAATTCCTCGTACACTTGCCTGGCAGTAGCAGAAAGTGATGCCAGCGTTATTACTACGGCGTTCAATAGTGAAGATGGAGAAGGCGATGGCGGATCGGAAAGCTTCAATTTTGGAGCCTTCTCAATTTCTTCGACTATCCCAGAGACCAGCTCATCGAGTTTTTTCGACACAAGCTTTGCTTCGAATTGCTTGAGAAATGTATCAATACCGTCCTTAACGGCATCAATGTTTTTTTCAATTTTGTATTGTTTATCGCCTTTTACCTCATTGATCTTTGCCTGAGCAACTTTTATATCTTCGTCCAGCTTTTGCCTAAAGATACCGGCGAAATCTGCCGTCCTATCTGAATAGAATTTATTGAAATCAGAGGTCTTATATTCTTGCTTAAAATAAGTCTGCATCCACCCCTTCACCGGTTCCTTTTCCACAATAGTCTTTATCCACTTCTCCACTTTAGTCGCAAAATTGACCTTCGCAAATTCCCCAGCGTAGTCCTCAAAGCCTTCGACTATCTTTTGGAGCGTTCCAATAGCTTTGCTTGTATGTTTAACGTTATATACCATATCTCCAATAAGTCCCCGGATGTGTCCTTTGAGCCCACTCCACTTTTTCACTATACTGTCACCGTCTTCCTGGATATTTGTTTTCACTGTCGCAAACTCTCTCCAGGCATCTCTAATCAACATTTCAAGCTTCCCTTTATCCGCCAACAAATTGTCGTGCACGATAGTGACTTCTCTTTTTATATCTTCGAACATAGCAATGATTATGTTCTTGTAATTCCTATCAAAATCCTTCTCCAAAAACCTCATCGCGTCCTTCAAACGGCTATAAATAGTTGTGAAGTGCTTGTCTTTCACATCTCTCAGACTGTTTATTTGGTTTATTATTGCCCGTTTCTGTGCCACTAGCTGCCCATCAACGTGCTTAGCGTCATCAAATACACTACCACTCACACTCACTTTTCGCATATGCTCTACCACACTTTTTACGGGCAGGAATTCACGCAACACACTACTCTTCAATGCATTATCTAACACATTAATTTTCTGTTGTTCTATATTGTTTACCTCAGTTTCGAGGCTTTCGACGGTATCCCTCCAAGCAGTCAACTGCTTTTCAAGCGGCTCGCTAATTTTACTATTTACATCAGCTACATATTTATTACCTAAGTGATCACTAAGTGTGCTAAGTGACGTGTTAACTGCATTTGTTTTCTCATTTAAGTGTTTATCATACTCACTAAGGATATCACTCACATACATTATGCACTTTTGAAAACCATTTTCACCATTATACAAATAAGCTAAAATTTTATTAAGGTCATTTTGTGATATAAAGCTATAAGTGGAAACGCTTGGATAATCTTTCACACTCTCAAGAACACCATGAAGGAAAGACATCACCCCGTCGCAGAGCCTGTCAAGGTCCGAGTACACAATTCCTTCTCCGGTGTAATTACCATTACTGTAGCCGAGAAATTTTTCGAGGCCTGTACAAAGGTTATTTAATAATGTTGTTGAAGGATTATTTTAGGTGCATTTTCAGGGTGATTTGGGGGAATTTGGAGAAAGGCGATTTTAGGTGGAGGAGGCAGCGAGGGAGGTGGGTGGACAGGGTGAGGGAGGTGAAGGGGCGAAAGAGGGCGATGAGGGAGGAAGGTGGAAAATGAGGATTTGGGGTGAAGGACGCCGACGGAGGAGGTGATGGAGGAGGGAGGGAGCGAAGCGACCAGTGAAAGATGAGGTGAGCGAGTGAGTGGTTAGGTGGTTGGGTGAGTGGGTGAGTGGGTGAGTGGTTGAGTGGGTGGTTGGGTGAGTGGTTGAGTATGTGAGTGAGTGGGTGAGTGGGTGAGTGGTTGAGTGGGTGGTTGAGTGGTTGAGTGTGTGAGTGGATGAGTGAGTGAGTGGGTGAGTGGTTGAGTGTGTGAGTGGGTGAGTGGGTGAGTGAGTGGGTGAGTGGGTGAGTGGTTGAGTGGGTGAGTGAGTGGGTGAGTGGGTGAGTGGTTGAGTGGGTGGTTGAGTGGTTGGTTAGGTGGTTGGTTAGGTGGTTGAGTGGTTGAGTGGTTGAGTGGTTGAGTGGTTGAGTGGTTGAGTGGTTGAGTGGGTGAGTGGGTGAGTGGTTGAGTGGGTGAGTGGGTGAGTGGGTGAGTGAGTGGGTGAGTGGGTGAGTGGTTGAGTGGGTGGTTGGGTGAGTGGTTGAGTATGTGAGTGAGTGGGTGAGTGGGTGAGTGGTTGAGTGGGTGGTTGAGTGGTTGAGTGTGTGAGTGGATGAGTGAGTGAGTGGGTGAGTGGTTGAGTGGGTGAGTGGGTGAGTGGGTGAGTGAGTGGGTGAGTGGGTGAGTGGTTGAGTGGGTGAGTGAGTGGGTGAGTGGGTGAGTGGTTGAGTGGGTGGTTGAGTGGTTGGTTAGGTGGTTGGTTAGGTGGTTGAGTGGTTGAGTGGTTGAGTGGTTGAGTGGTTGAGTGGTTGAGTGGTTGAGTGGTGAGTAGGTGGGTGAGTGGTTGAGTGGGTGGGTGAGTGAGTGAGTGGTTGAGTGGTGGTTGAGTGGGTGGTTGAGTGAGTGGGTGAGTGGGTGAGTGGTTGAGTGGGTGGGTGGTTGAGTGAGTAGGTGGTGGTTGAGTGGTTGAGTGAGTGGTTGGGTGGTTGAGTGAGTGGGTGAGTGGTTGAGTGGTTGAGTGAGTATGTCAGTGGTTGAGTGGTTGAGTGGGTGAGTGAGTGGGTGGGTGAGTGAGTGGGTGAGTGAGTGGTTGAGTGGGTGGTTGAGTGAGTTGGTGGTTGAGTGGGTGGTTGAGTGGGTGGTTGAGTGGTTAGGTGGTTGAGTGGTTGAGTGGTTGAGTATGTGAGTGGGTGGGTGAGTGGTTGAGTGGTTGAGTGAGTGGGTGAGTGGGTGGGTGAGTGGGTGAGTGAGTGAGTGGTTGAGTGGTTGAGTATGTGAGTGGGTGGGTGAGTGGTTGAGTGGTTGAGTGAGTGGGTGAGTGGGTGGTTAGGTGAGTGAGTGAGTGGTTGAGTGGTTAGGTGGTTGAGTGGTTGAGTGGTTGAGTGAGTGGGTGATTAGGTGAGTGGGTGAGTGAGTGAGTGGTTGAGTGGTTGAGTGGGTGGGTGAGTGGTTGAGTGGTTGAGTGAGTGGTTGAGTGGGTGAGCGGGTGGGTGGTTGAGTGAGTGGGTGAGTGGGTGGGTGAGTATGTGAGTGGGTGGTTGAGTGGGTGAGTGAGTTGGTGGGTGAGTGGTTGAGTGGTTGAGTGAGTGGTTGAGTGGGTGAGCGGGTGGGTGGTTGAGTGAGTGGGTGAGTGGGTGAGTGAGTGGTTGAGCGGGTGAGCGGGTGGGTGGTTGAGTGAGTGGGTGAGTGGGTGAGTGGGTGAGTGAGTGGTTGAGTGGGTGGGTGGTTGAGTGGGTGAGTGGGTGAGTGGGTGAGTGAGTGGGTGATTAGGTGAGTGAGTATGTGAGTGAGTGGTTGAGTGGTTGAGTGGGTGGTTGAGTGGGTGGTTGAGTGGGTGGTTGAGTGGTTGAGTGGGTGGTTGAGTGGTTGAGTGAGTGGTTGAGTGGGTGAGTGAGTGATACACAGATCACACGTGAAGGCACGATTATGGTGAGAAGTACTTGACGTTGGCGAGTGCCTTGACGCGTGCGGCGGCGAGGAGGGACTGTGCGGCGATGCGGTGGCTTGAGGGTGATCTCAGGTGGGAGCGTATCCTCAGGACGTCGAGGCGGACGACGGCGATGTGCAGCAGGTACAGGAGCGAGAGCGACCAGAGGGTGAACAGAGTAATGGAGAATTCTTCTCTTATAGCCCATATATATTTATCGATGTCTTCGATGAGTTTTACAAGTGCACATCCTTCGCCGATTACTTTCTTCAAAACGTGGCAAAAGTCTCTGCACGTACGTTTAGTTGTTTCACCAGCCAGCTTTGCCACGTGCTCATGTACAAACCCGAATTTGTACAGTATTGGACGGGTATGCGAGCACTTTGCAATTGAATCGCAGGACGCATCGTGAGGTGACGTTGCCGATTTCTCGGTAACAGTACATTTGGGGGGGCATTTAGCAATGCGGCATTTTGGATTTTCACCACCGCACTTACTACTGCACTCTTCATATAACTGATGCAGTAAATTATAAAAAGTTTCCGTGCTATACACTATCCACGATAGATATTTGCCACCATGTTCTTTAGAATACATACTGCTAATATCAGTATTTAGAGCATGTAGATAGGGACCACATTTACCCCTTGTAGCTGAAGAGCAAACGAGACTGACAAGATCGGCGTTGGCCTGCTTATGAGGGTGACTACCGCCGAATATAGAATGGGCGTTCAAGCCTTCGTAAGGACGTTTGAAATTGGCCTTACTAATAGCCTCTTCAAATGCACCCTTCCTATGTGGTGTGTTCCTATTCCAGTCACTAAGGAAATTGTGGTAGAAACTAAACATATCGCCTAGTGTCTTTGGAGCGGTAGGCAAGAGACAATTCAGTTGACCGCAGAGCTTAGTTAGGGGAGCATGATCAATGCCACAAAACTTCTCAAGCACCTTTTGGAGATACTCCCCTTCTTTCGTGTGTGACGCTTTAATACCAATATCTACAAAACCCATGGGAGTGAGGCACAGTTTGCCAAAGTGATTGCTAACTGAGCATTTCACTCCGCAGCCAACATTGGAAAATGTATGAGGCAGGAAGCCGGGGGAGACTATCTTCAAGGTACGACTGAAGTGGCGACTTTACACCGCACTTGGGATGTTGCTTACACTTTTGGCTAGTACTTTGGTCAGCCTTTTGGGGACACTCTTGGTTGGCACATTGGTTGTCGTTGCATTGCCATCCAGAGTTGCCGACACCCTGACCGTACGAGCAGTTTGACCAACCGCTGTAATCGGTATTGTGTGAACACTGTGTAAGCAGGAAATAAAGTTGGTAGAATAGTCTATTCATTATATCTACCATCATACCTAAGCAGGCATTGGCACTGCTAGGATATGCTAGGTTAAGGGTGTTGTTGGAATGATCACAGGCATATACACCGCCTGCGTAACCGTGGCCGAGGACACCGGTCAATACGTCATAGGATTGTGCGCAGACATCGTTGAGAGACGTTGCTAAACTACTGTATGTTATTGGTTGCGGATAGGCGTCAAATGATTCTTCGCCGAGATCTGTCACTTCAATCTCATCGTCGTCTGCGGGCTTCTTACTTGGGCCTTCGAGCAGCGACGGCAACACGTCATGGAGCAAAGAGTCATACACGGAACTGTACGGGAGGCCTGAGAACCATGCGAGCATTTCGTAGATGGATGACGGATGTTTCTTGGAGGAGAATGTGGCGAAGTGACACACTTCATTGTACGTCTCCAGGTGTTCGAATAATTTTGCCACAGGACCTTCATGGCGTTTGAAGTAATCAGTGCATTGCTCAATGGATTCAAACTCAGTTGGCAGCTTATTAAATTCACCATATTTGTCGAAGCCGTTAAATAATTTTCCTGTCACACCCAGCGTCGACAGCGTTTTGTTGAGATTCTCAATCTCGAATCCTTGTTTAATAAGATATATTCTTAATGCATGTCTGCCTTTTACAGTACCAGTTCCGTCAATTTTAAGTTGGCTCCAATGCTTAACGCCGTGATGAAACAGATAGTACAGTTCATTGAACACCGTGGATAACAATGTGAAAAACACCTTTGCGCATCTGTTGGCGTCATCGGTTAGGGCTTTAGTTGCAGAGCCATCTGGAGTTGACGCTTTTTTGCTGGTATCGGCTTGCTCCCACTCTATCTTCTGGCCGTCGTACCTGGAGATGTACACGTTGCCAAGCACTTTGACCAACTCTCCACAGCCGCCGGAGATGCCACTCAGCATTCCTGTGACCGGGTTGGGGAAGCCGTCTAGTTTCAGCTCGGAGAGTGTGGCAGTGAGTTCAGCGAGCTTAGTGGGTAAGTTGTGGTCGTAGTGATTTTTACTGTGAATGTGACCAATTAGCGTGCTAAGTTTGGAGTATACATTATTAAGTTGTTTGCTATACGGGTCTTGAGGTTTCTGAAGCGAAGGATTTTTCTTGTGTTCCTCCTCCTTAAGGCGGTCTATTTCCCTGCTGATATATGTGTTGAGGGGCCCGAGGAATTTTTCGAGGCCATGGCAGACAGTCCGGAGATCGATGCCATCTTTAAGCTTGTTAATATTGTCGCCGGAGTTAGGGCCATAAAAGGCCTCCATGAACCCTTTCAGGCCGATGTGTTTGTCGTTGTCAATCTCCCCCGGCAACTCTCTGAGCTCCCCCGTCACCTTGGCGGCGAACTGCCGGAGCGCGAACTTGAGGGCCTCGGCGTACTGCCTGCGCGCGTGGGTGGTGAGTTTGTCGGTGGCTTGTTTTATGTCCTTCCTGACGTCTTCCTGCAGTTGTTTGATGTAGTGATTTTGGGCTTTTGTCAAGTACGCAAGCAGATCGTTGGTCTTCTGAATAGGCTTTTCAGCCAGTTCGTTTCGGAGATTGGTGATATTGCTGTGTATTTTATGAATGCTGTTCGCATCCTTACCAGGTTGTGTAAAGTATTTGTTCTTTAACTCGTTCAACTTTTTCAGCGCACTGTTAGGATCGGTTTCGGCTGCATTCTTAACGGCACGACATAAGAGACTAAGATTGTCCTTAACCTCTCTCAACCTTTCTTCAACGTGAATATTAATATTGCCAACATCATCCAGCGCATTCTGCACTTGTGTCCTGATGTTCTTGATGGCCTTGGGAAGAAGACCGTCTATGGGTTCTGGGTTGCCGGACGTGGCGGGCGGATTTTTTTGTGTTTGGTCAACGTAGCTTTTGTATCCCTGGAACTGTGTTGGACCTTTTGGAAGGGTAACAGTTACACCTCCATCCTCCTCCCCAACCTGCTCATCCAGTATCCCAGAAATCTTGGTGCTGAGGGCTGATCGAATGGGATCGAGAATTTTGTTAGCATCAGGAGTTTCGCCATTCAACTTCTTGGTCGCCTCACTAATCCAGTGCAAAGCATTATGTATTCTATAGGCAACAGCTTTCTGGGCATCCTCTGGCACACTGCCAAACGCTTTTTCAAAATGACCCAACTCGTCACCTAATTTCTGTTTAAGTTCGGTAAAACCATTCTTTTTAGAATCCCAAGCGTCCTTACCAGCCTCCTTAATTCCCGACTCCAATGCGCTCTTCAGTGTATCAAAATACGTCGACAGTCCCTGAATAATCCCGTCTCTAACACCTTTCAAATCCGCCATAATCTTCCCGTTCATCAACACAACCTGCTTCAACGCCTCAGTAACTTCTTTTCTAACCTCATCCAGACCCGTGTTTCCAGCTGTCACAAGCTCATTTATCATGATACCAATCTGATCTATTGCCGCTTTCATTCGACCAGGATTGTTTGTTACAGCTTCCTCGTTCACTTCATATAATATCTTTTTCACCATCTCCAACGCCTTGTCAACTGCGGAATTTGCGCTGTCAATCCATCTTCCCAATTCAGCTACATAGTCGTGGAGACTTTTACTAATTTTCTTAAGCTCCGCCAATATAGGCTCCACTTGCTCCCTAACCTTTGACACAAACAGTTTTACCTGTGTGTCAATTTTACAATCAACGTCTGATTTCAGAGCTCTCATCACTTCTTCAATTTTCTTAATCGCCTGCGTCATTTCGGTATGCTCTTGCCCCTTCACCCTCCCCAACCGCGCACTCTCATACTCCACCGTCTTACGCACGCTCTCAAGCTTATCTTTTAATGTAGCATTTAGGTCGGAAATTGCGTTGTTAAGTGCATTTTTATCTATAGTGATGTCAAGTGCATTAGTGAATTTTTTAGCGTGCTCTTGACATTCTTGCACCTTGAGATTAATAGACTTCTCAGCTTGCTCCACCTTCACGGCCGTACTTAATGCAGTCTCTGAGAATTCTACATCTAGAGTCTTCTGCTCGTACCGTTTGACGGCAACCTGCAACAAATTAATTTGTTGACTTACCTTAGAATTTGAGGCGGCGACTTCATTATTGTACCTCCTGACACATCCCTCCACCGCGGCTATCGCCGCCCTGTATTTAGCAATACCATTATCATTTGTGACTTTAAGTGAGTTAAGTGCGCTATCTAAAGTGTCTTTATGCTGGCCTAATTTAGGCTGAATGTTATGTAAAACACCATGAAGGAAAGCCATCACCCCGTCGCAGAGCCTGTCAAGGTCCGAGTACACAATTCCTTCTCCGGTGTAACTACCGTTACTGTGGCCGAGAAATTTTTCGAGGCCTGTGCAAAGGTTATTTAATAAAGTTGTTGAAGGATTATTTTAGGCACATTTTGAGGGCGATTTGGGGGAATTTGGAGAAAGGCGATTTTAGGTCAAGGAGGTAAGGGAGTGAGGGAGGTGGGTGGACAATGCGAGGGAAGTGAAGGGGCGAAATAGGGCGATGAGGGAGGAAGATGGGTTGAGGTAAGGCGGTTTAGGAGGAGGAGGGGGAAAGTGGAAAATGAGGATTTGGGTGAAGGACGCCGACGGAGGAGGTGATGGAGGGGTGAGGGAGGAGGGAGCGAAGCGACCAGTGAAGGAGAGAGGTGAGTGTTGAGTGGTTGAGTGGTTGAGTGAGTGGTTGAGTGAGTGAGTGGGTGAGTGGTTAGATGAGTAAGTGGTTGAGTGGGTGAGTGGTTGAGTGGGTGGGTGGTTGAGTGGGTGAGTTGGTGAGTGGGTGGTTGGGTGAGTGAGTGGTTGAGTGGGTGGGTGAGTGAGTGGTTGAGTGGGTGAGTGGGTGAGTGGGTGGTTGAGTGGGTGGGTGGTTGAGTGGGTGAGTGGTTGAGTGGGTGGGTGAGTGGGTGAGTGAGTGATTAGGTGAGTGAGTGGGTGAGTATGTGAGTGGGTGGTTGAGTGGGTGGGTGGGTGGTTGAGTGGGTGGTTGAGTGGGTGGTTGAGTGGGTGAGTGGGTGAGTGATACACAGATCACACGTGAAGGCACGATTATGGCGAGAAGTACTTGACGCTGGCGAGTGCCTTGACGCGTGCGGCGGCGAGGAGGGACTGGGCGGCGATGCGGTGGCTTGAGGGTGATCTCAGGTGGGAGCGTATCCTCAGGACGTCGAGGCGGACGACGGTGATGTGCAGCAGGTAGAGCAAAGAGAGGGACCAGAGGGCTAGCAGTGTCCATATGAAATTCTTCCTGACTGTGAACATGAATTCGTCGATGGCCTTTAAAAATCTTGACAATGCTCCGGATTTCAATATGTCTTCAAGTGCTTTGCAGAATTGAGAACATTGTTTCCTGCTGCTGTTTGAAGCATCCGGGAACGTTAATCCGAATCGATAGAATGTGGGAGACACTCCTTTGCAGTCGACCATTGATCGACAACCGCAGGGCTTATTACCATGCTTGCCCCCTCGGCAGGCAGCGCTGTTAAGACACGGCGAACACCCAGAGTCAACACATGAAATATTACAGAATGCCTGCTTCAACTCCTCGAAAAATCTAACGAGTTGGTTGGCACAGCCAAGTATCCACGACAAATATTTGTCGGCGTGTTTTGGCGCAAAGCAGTAATACGCAACAGAGTTTAATGGGCGCATGAAATAACCGCAATCTTGTTTACCACAACCAACAAAATAGCTGAGGTCACGGTCCACATTGGTCTCGTGCATAAAGTGCGATGAGGATTCATACATATATTTGCATGGATCAAGTAACGACACAGCATCACTATGATCGCAGCCCACGGTAGCCGTGATTTTGTCGGCAAGGGCCTGTTGGATGGAGTGTGATGATTTGTTATTTTTAGGCATGTTATTCCATCTCCTTACCAGGCTGTAATAGAAAGCAAACACATCAGGTAACGTCATAGGTGCACGGTTGAGAAGGCAAGTGAGTGGCGCGTAGAGTTTTGTGAACACGCCATCAGCACCGACCAACTCGCCCAGCACTTCACACAGGTCTCTCCCTGTATGCGTACTGTTCGAGAACGCTCTGAAGCCGAGGGAGGAAGGCACGGCATCCCAGGCGGAGATTTGGCGCAAGTGTTGCACGATGATTTGCAACCAACAGAGGTTACATCATGAGGCAAATGACCATGTAAGCTATCGTTTATGTAAGACATAAGTGGAGAGGTTGGTTGGCAATTTGGTTTGGTGCTTGCCTGGCAATTTGCTTGGCACGTTGGTTCATCAGTAACATGCTCGTTACACGACCATTTGGACGACCTGATATCCTTGCCGTAGTAGCAGTCGCGCCAGCCACCGTGCTTATCACGTAGGCTACACTGAGTATGCAAGAATGTAAGGACGGGGAACATTCTACGTAGGATATCAAGCAACATGTCAAGGCACTCGGCGCCGGAGGCAGGATATTTCAGGCTGAGGGAGTTGCTAGGGAACTCACACGCGTAAAACGTTTCATCATCACCATGCCCAACGACGCCAGTCAGCAGTGAGTACGCGTGCGATGTAACATGTTCAAGTGCAGAATGTATTTCACCATCTGTAAACTGTTGTGGATAGGCATTCATAGGCTTCACGATTTTCTGAGAAGGATCTGTCTCACTTGGCACTTCGAACATAGTCGTAATCTGCTGCTTAAGTTTTTCATAAATGGGGTTATGCGGAAGGCCGGACAGCCATAGGGACATTTCGAATACGCTACACGGTGACCTGGGTTTGTCAATGTGAGTAAGGTGGCAGATGTCGAAGTATTCATTAAGGTAATCACGAAGCCTATGGATGATTCCGGTTTCCTCGACAAAATCGACGGCTATATCTTCAGTACCGGAACGGAGAGCGGAAAGTGATTGATTACTGGTAACGAACAAATTATGTTTATTATTCATAAGATTTGTGAGAATGCGGCTACCTTTGTACTCTGGCTTATGGTTCAACTCGCCGTGCTCCGCACCAACAGGAAGAGCAGAGTCATAGCCGTTGTCACGGAAAAAAAGAGCGTGTAAACTGGATTTGGGAACCGAATTGTTATAAATGTTATTAAGTTTCCATCCAGTGCTTGTGTCATCCAGTTTCTCCTTGAGCTGCGTTAATGCTTCATATACGGTGGGCGTAAGGGTCAAGGAGATTTTTGCGTACTTTTCTTTTTCCTCCTGGCCGATGGTTTGCCAATTAATTTCACGCTCCGAATACGTCGATATGTAAGTGTTGCCAAGCTCTTCGATGAGGCCCGAGAAGCCTTTCTTTAAAGCGTCGACAATAAAAGGGTTCTCTGCTTCGCCAATTATTAAAGGGTTAAGCTTGCTAAGCTCATTTTCGAGCGACTCTGAATTTTCCATAAATGTCTGGTTGAAGTGCTGCGATGTTATGAGCTCTGCCAGCATTTTCTGCAATGCATCTTTCGATGCCTCAAATTTTCTGAAATCTTTACTGAAGTCTGTGTGCTTTTGGTAATCATGAAAGAACTTTTTAAAACTTCCATGTAATTTTACCACCGCCTGGCTGAGTGGAGATTTTTCTTGTGAAAACTTATTTTCAATGTCCTTAATACCTCTGATTGATTTAGGGTGTGTAATAAAATGTTCTTCAAATTTAGACATAAACCCCTTGAAGCCTAGCGTTAAGTCATCTGCAATCTCTTTTGGTAGAGGCTTTAATTCCTCCTCTACCTTATCGGAAAATGCCGTCAGCAGAGTCTGTATGGAGTTCACATACCGTTTCCGTGCGTGGGTGGTGAGTTTGGCTTCGGCGTCCGCGGCCTGCGCTTTAACGTGGTCCTCCAATGATTTTATTGTGGCTTTGCAGGTTGGTTCGGCGCCGGTTAGAAAGTATTCGGCCTCCTTTATGGCTCCGCCTAGATCAACGGTTTTCAGTTGCTCAAGGTCATACTTAATTCTCTTGATGTTATCCCTAACTAGTCTGGTAACTGTGAAATCATGGTCTTTAAAATACGTATTTTTCAAAAGTTGCAACTCGCTTTTGGATTGTTCGCCTTCGTGTTTGATAACTCTATAAAGCTCCGTGAGGTTGTCGGTGACTTTCTTAATATCTTCGTTTGCAAAGCCATGGAATTGGGCGATTGGTTTTAGAGCCTCCGTCACCTGCGTCCTGATTTCCTTGATCTTGTCTGGAAGGGCGCCTGCAAGGTTGTCGATGTCACCGGTCACGGTGGATTGGGTTACTTGCAGTTTGTATTTGGTGAAACTTGTAGTTCCTTGAAGCGTGACTTTTTTATTTTCTGGTTGTCCAGTCAGAGTGCCGTTCGCTGGATCATCTTTCAGCTGCTGCTCGAGCACGTCTTCGCCACCACCACTGCTGGTGGCGCTTGCTATCTGGCCGAGTTGGAGCTTCTGGTGGGTCTCGTGGAATTGGGACATGAGGCTGGGGCCAAGAGTATAATTGTTTTGACCGAGAGCTCCATTTGTAGGGAAGTTCTGCTTTAGCTCCACCTCCACAGCCTTGTCATGCCTGTAGGTGGCAAGTTGAATCTTCTGATTTGCGACGTACCCTTTAGACCTGCCGGAGGATTCTCTGGCTGCTTCTTCAAGCTCCCTATGCAGCGTCGTCGCTTTCGTGTAAGCCTCGTCCACCTTCTTGATTTTGTAGACACTGGAGCTGTCTTCGTAACCGGCAAGCAATTTGATTTGTTCGGCCAACTGCGTCGCTGTGGCGTGGACGGAATGTAGAATAATTTGGACGGCTTCTTTTAGATAACCTTTATTAGTAAATTCCATCCCGGTTTTTACCAAGACACCTTCAATCGCCCCAACTATACCATTAATAAACTCATCTCTCCCATAACGCACAGATGGATTGTTCTTAATCTTCTCACCAAGCTTCGTGTGAAAGTTATTGATGCAATCGTAAACAGCCTTAATATTTTCATTAACTTTGTCATTTTGGCCGCCATCGCCACGCGGTTCCGTAAATTTCATTTCGATGCCGTAATTACCATTCTTAATTTTATTCTTGATTGCTTCCGCGACATCATTAGTATGGCTATCCTTAATCCCACCTGTTCCACTGGCTAACTTATCCGTGTGAAACTCAAAAACACTTGTACCCAAACCGTTGGGCTGGGAGGCATACGAATCAATTGCACCTTTAAGAATGTCATTCGTTTTCAAAATATCATCAATCCATTTCTGTACTATGCCTTCAAATCCCTGGTCCTTGAACTTTTTAACATAATCCTTAGTCACGTGAGTCACAAATCCATCAAGACCTTCACCATTCTTAATTTTATCAACTTCCTTATTAATCGCTTTTAGAACACTCTTCACATGCTGCGTCAACGCATTCCTAATCCCACTTTCCAACACCCCCAAATCATCCTTCACATTCTTCTCCAACTTTGTTCCCAATGCTTTAATCGCCCGCTTGATATTCTCCTTGACATTATATAAATCCTCCTTTAATTTCCCATCCATCGTTTTCACGGCCTCGAGGGCTGATTTGACTTTCTCTCCAACAAATTTCTTTGCATCTTCGCCAGCTCCGTAAAGCATCGTTACTGCAGTCTTAATCTGCTCTAAAGCTTGCTTGATTTTATATGGCTGCGTAACTGAATCCTTTTCGTTAACCTCTTTCAATATTGATTCCACTCTTCCTAACGCACTGTTCACTGCTGCCTCCGCTTTGCTAATCCACTGTCCCAACTCCTTTATATATTTCTCCAGCTCCTGAGCAATCTTCTTCAGCTGGTCTAAGATTTTCTGCACTTTTTGCTTTAAGTCGCGGACCATTTTTGTCACAACCTCACTTATGTTCGTATTCACACAATCTTTTGCCGCGGCAAGGACGCTCTGAATCTTCTCCGTCGTCTCCTGCAACTCCGCAGCCTCCGCCTCACGCACCTTCTCAAGCCTCTTCGTCTCATGTGCCATCGTACTATGGACGTGCTTAATTGTAACGCGCAAACTACTATTAAGAGCTTTAATCGCATCTTTGTAGCTATTGTTAACGTCTAAGTCATTAGTGAAGTGCTCAGCTTTCTGCTTATATTCCGCCAGCGTCTTGTCCACCAACTCCTCCGCTTGGCAAATTTTCATGGCATCATCTGCGTCAGAATTTTTCCCTAATATTTCACTTACCGTTTTCTTGAGAATCTTCATGTCTTTTTCTAAGCCTTGAATTCTGCTCTTGATCTTCTCATTCGACGCCTTGACTTCCTTATTATACCTTTCCACGTGAACACTCACCTTAGGAAAGGCCGTGCAGAAACCATCGTGACCTGAATGCAAATTAGGCTGTAAAGTGTTCTTAACAAGTGAATCAATGAATCCCTTACCCGTTTCGTAAGGTTGTTTATCGTGGACATCTTTAAGCACTGAGTGCAAAAACGCCATCACCCCGTCGCAGAGCCTGTCAAGGTCCGAGTACACAATTCCCTCTCCGGTGTAATTACCATTACTGAAGCCGAGAATTTTTTCGAGGCCTCCACAAAGACTCTCTAAAAGGTTTTTAGGATTTTCATGATTTTTATCAATTTTATCAGCATATCTACAAAGCTCTTTCAGTGTCTCAAGGGACTTCTTGGAAGCCTGATGAGACTGAAGATCCTTATTAAACTTGTCAATTTGAGAGGCATTTTGAGAAGGTTGATATGCACTTT